ACTAGACATCAGAAATGAAAAAATAATATGAAAAAGCAATTCATATTTATTTACAGGTATAATGATTCATGCATTGAAAACAAAGCAGCAGCAATAGGATTGCTTTATGGTAGCCTAGTGTAATCAATATGATTGCTTCATGGTAGGCTAGTCTATACACTAATGACTGAATCATTATCAAATTTTTATGGCATACAGTATTATAGCCATATTCATAGTACAATATTGGAAACATTGTTTACTTTTAAAAAAACCACTTACCTGTGATGATAGGCTGATACGCAGTCTCTCCAATTATGAGGAAGAGGCATACTGAACAGTAATATAATTCTTTGAAAGCAAAGTTATAAAACAGTAAGAAAACGAACACATTATTTTTTATGTTAAATATCACTCATCTTATGCCTATGCAAGTAAGGGTAGACTAGTATCTATATATATTTTAAGCATTCATGACATACCTTACTTTTTCTTAATTTTTTTGATATTTCTAAACTATGTGGTTCGTCTGTGAGTTTTTTCAAATAGTTGCAAATCTCCCCAAATTTTTCCAATAATTTACTGAAAAAAATCTGCTTATAAGTGGACCCACTCAGTTGGGTGTTGTCCAGGGGTCAACTGTAGTCCCCCCTCCACATTACCCAGTCTCTTTCCTGCTCAATGGAGTCACCTTATTTCTCATAATTTCCTTTTTATATTGACCTTCAATTTTGAGGAAGTTAATCTGCTTGCCTTTCCCATATACTGTTTCCATGTATTCATCTCTGTACCTTTGAATAAGACATATCCACCCCTTTATCAACTTCGTCACCTGTAAAAGGTTACTTCTTCCAAAACACAGCTCACAATTAGCTGATATATATATCACCTGCATTTGTAGGGCGTTTTTTGTTTTGTTTTTTTGTTTTTGCATGTGCTCCTTTTTATTGGCATTTGTTTTTCCTAGCTGGGTTATAAGTTCTCTGATAACATAATATCTGGTTATTAATAGATACTTAATAACTTCTAATTAAATAAATGAATGAATAAATGTTGTTAGTTGATTGCTAAATTTTATACCATAACTGAACATTTTTATTAACAGTCTTATGATTTTAGTGGAGGAGGGACTAATCACTTATTTAGAGGCTTCCTATGTATCTAATAATTATGAAGTACTCTTTTGAGGTTAAAGAAAAATTCTTTTGACTGAAATATATTTTATTAGTCTCTCTAGGTCACTCAAATAATTTAAAATTATAAATTCAATACATTGTCATTATAAAAGTTTATAAAATGAGTCAACAAATAAAAATGAAAATCACCTCTAATTCTACTACTCAAAGAAAACCATCTAACAATATTAGACACATATTGCACATCTGATTCTGTATCTTTTGGGGGGGGCGCTGAACACTTTATCATAAGAATTTTCCTGTGTTATTAGTCTCAGAAAACACTATTTTTATGACTACAAATTTCCTTAATGTAAGTATCTAGAATTTAATTTTTGCTGAACCTTTAGTGTTATTCCAACTTCCCTCCCACTTTTCACCTTATAAGTAAGTCGGTATTGCAGTAACATTATTATGCAATAATCTGTGCCAATGTTTCTATTTCATAGAAGAGACTCTTAGAGCTATTTCTGAATCAAAAAGAGTTAACATTTAAAAAATCTAATAGAAAGTGCCAAATTGCCTTCAAGAATGGACAGTTTAGACTCCTCCCAACAGAACAATAAGAATGGAAATTTCACTCTATTTTCATCTTGGGCCATACTTTAGCAAATAAATCCAACAAAGGAGTTGGGGAGTGACTTTGGAAAAATAAGAAAACTTCAGCATTTCTTCTAAAAGCTTGGAAGTCTTTATTATGTTTGTCTAAATTTTTAGGCTCTGCTTCTAATAATGTCATTTGCTTCTGTGTCCAGATTTTCTATGCAGTTCATGCCTTTCAGGCACGGAGTGACCATGAACTCAGCCTTCAGGAATACCAAAGAGTTCATATACTTAGATTTTGTGACCTAAGTGGCAACAAACAGTGGTGGTTAGCTGAAGTTCAAGGGCAGAAGGGCTATGTTCCAGCTAACTACCTTGGGAAGATGACTTATGCTTAAGAAAATAAGCCTTTGACTTTTATCTTCTGGCAAGTTGTTGACTGACTACCTCATAAAACCGACATTACAAAATGTTGACCTAGAAATCAAGAAACCTCCAAACTACATGAACTGATACCATACCAGGTTTTAAGGAAGACTGTACTTCCAAACAAGATTATTTCAAAATGTATTATGAAGAATACATGTTGAAGGAAACACTAAACAAACAAATAGCAAAACAAACAGTCAAAGCTCCAACTATCAACTACTTAAAAGTGATCTTCTGAAAGGGTAAATGTATTCTTTATCGTCATGAAAGGTTGGATTTAAGGACAAGGTTTTTTCAATTTACTGTATTTTATTTTTCTGTATTATATATTTTGCCTTCAATGTTTTTGTTTTTCATATTCTCTTTTGCACACGCATGCACATATATACATACACACAAATATATACCATATACATTACATGGTTTACACACATATATGTGTACTATATGGTATAGATTATATACACATATGCATGAACCAGGGAGTGTACTAAAGAGACACAAGAATAGAAATTGTACACTTAATTAACAGTCAACTAGAAGTCTGATATGGACCCTCTATTTTCTTTTTTTGGCCACACGGCACACCACAGGGCATGTGGGATCTTAGCTCCCCAACCAGGGATCAAACCCGTGCCCCTGCATTGGAAGCGTGGAGTCTTAACCACTGGACCACCAGGGAAGTCCCTGGACCCTCTCTTTTAATGTAAGTTTCGAACTTAAAAAAAAAAAAAAGAAACCTGAATAACATAATAGTGATAACATTTACTGAATGCATACCACGTGCCGGACATTGTTATAAACACTTTATATGTGGTAACTTATTTGATACGCACAACATTATGAGGAAACTGTTGCCTAAAGAGGTGAAGTAATCTATTTAGCCCAAGTCACACTGCTAGTAAGTGGCAGGGCTGAAACTCAAACCCAGGTCTGGTTCTGCGGTCCACACCCCTAACCACTACATGGTATACATTTACTATGAGCAAAGAACATAGTGATAAAAGTAATGAACATTGATGAGGACCATTTTCCTCTTAGGTCCATATTTAAGTATTGAGAAGTTTTTCAAAATCAAGGGCTATAGGAACTTCCATGATAAGCCTAGAGAAAAGGAAGCACCTAGGTTTATTATTTTTATTTTTTGCTTAAACATTTTTGAAAGTATAATTGTTTAAAAACTATCCTACGTGATCACTAATGATACTTTAATGAGAAAATATTTTTGGATCACTCAATCATGTAGATGATGAATGGGGAATGTGTGTTCCATGTTCTGAGCTAAGATGTAAATAGTTTTAGTTGCTGATTAGTACTTAGACCAGGTAGGCATTGAGGATAACATCTGCTGTAACACAATGTCCCGGAACACTGAACTTTAATTTAGGAATAGCTCAGAACTGTCCCCTAAGATTTCAGGCATATTTTGTCCCAAGACATTTTATTGAACTAAAGATGCTTCTTTGAAACAGAAAAAAGATTAAATTTGACTTGGTGGTTTCCTTTAAACACCAAAATAAGGTGGATTTTCATTGTCCATATAAAATGTGTTAATACACTAAATTTTAAGATTAAAATTACTTTCAAAGATTTGATCTCTATAATATATATCGTTACATATATTACTGAGGAATACGAAAAACAAATGAAGAATGCTGCTTCTCAGAGAGCTGTTGACTTTAGCATACATATGACATGTATAACCACAGAAATTCATGATAAGGCTTTACATGACAGAAAAATTTATATTTTATGATACTGTTTCTAAAATTCTTAATTTAAACCTGGACTTATAAAGTTCTACTTATAAGTTGTTTCTGCATAAAATTTTTTTTGATGAATAATTTGCACAATTTATTTTGCTTAGTGAGTTGTATGCTACATCATTTAATTGATTTAGAAAATAGAAAAAAATGTAAATATTGGATTTATATATTAATTTATGTTACCATGCTTATTGTTAAGTATTTTGAATATCACCCATGGAAAGGCCCCATATTGGAGCCAGCAAAATGTCCAGTGGCTGTCTTCACTACAGAAGGAGGCATATTTCTTTTATTTTTAAAACTTTTTTTTATTGGGGTATAGTTGTTTTATACATAAAATATTTTTTTGAGTTGGATACCAAAAGAAGACTGGATATATAGGGACTTTTTGTCTTTTAACTTGTGCCAACTATGAATATACCCAACCCGTGGGGAATTTTTATATAATTTAAATTAGTTGTGACCTAAAAACTCCCCCCCCCACCACCAAAATGAAGCATTATAAAAGTAACACATATCTGCTTTTCTGGCTGATATAAGTGACTAGATGTATATGAGAAGTTTTGTCTACCTGTGTGGTCTTAGGATTGATGCTTCCAGTCTGACCTTACAAGACACCACACCACTAAAATCATAGCTGCAGTTAGTTGCTGAGCAAGAGTTGTAATGAAGCCACCTTCTGCAGTCCCCCACTATTGTGCAGAACATCCATTACATTGTTGCTATTTTAAAAATACAACCTACATTTCATATGCCATTTAGGCTTTTTTTTTTTAAACATTATGCGATACATTTGTTTTCTAAGTATGTTATTTCAAATCAAGTAATTGTAATTTTGAGGTCAGGAATTATTTTGTTGGGTCTAAGGGAAATAAAATCCCAAGACAGTTATGATGTATATAAGTCTTCAAGAAGTTTAAAAAGATAAAACTGTTGGTGCCATCATTACAATTTAGGCAAGGTATGCTAATATAATTATATATTCTTTCTTTATATCTTTAAAATTAAATGTTATTTTATAGTATAGAATTCTCTGAAATAGGTATTTTTACCAAGAATGAAGGGGAAATTTTTGTGGCTAGTTTTCTTCACAAAACAAATAAACAGGTGTATATATACATTTTATTTAGTATTTATTTTTAAATACAGATGCCTTAAACTATACACATAATAAAGTTTAGAAATTATAAAAAAAACAGTAATACAAAGTTACCATGGGTGCTTAAGTCATGTGAAAAAGTCACAAGGCCACTATATGAACATTCCTTATATTTTAGAAAAATATCTGGTCTTAGTATAAAAATTCTATGAAGGAGGAATTGTGCGGAAGAGATAAAATGCACATTGTTAATCATATAAATGCAGCATTGCATGGAATACTTTTAAGTGCTGGTATATTCCATATCTTCCCTAAACTATAACTTGGACTTTTAGAGATGCTTGTCACTATTTGTGATGAATATTTAGATGATTTACAAAAATTAGTAAACATGGAATTAAAAACTCTTCACTTTTCCATAAACTTCTTGGACTTCTGTCAATTGCAAAAACCTCTCAAAGTTCTGTGAGTAAAGAGAGGAAATCTTCATATTCTAAGATGGCAAAACCACTTTACTTAAATCCTGTTTGTCATAACTACAGTTTCTTAAGGCACTCAGTGCACCCTTCAATACTGAATACATCTAGAAACCTCACAAAATTTAAGCTAAATTAGGCATATAAGTTTACATTATAGTTGATGAGGAAGGAATTAAATTTGATTGATTGGAAGGACACTAGACTTTATACTCTCGAGATATCCTACTACTTATGGAATGATACTATTTTTAAAGTCTATTTAAAAAAATTTTTTAAATTATCTCCCTCCTCTTATATATACTAAATAGTATATATATAAAAAGCCAGTCATTAAATTCTCTGTGATCTACAAGATTATTCCAATATAAAAATCTTTACTCCAGGAATTCAAGCTGAGTCTCTGTAAGCCAGTTACTGCACACACAATATTACACTCTAGATACAGACAAAATTTGCTTTAATTTTTCAGGAAAATAAGTCATTTTAGTATATACCAGAATAAGATGTTCTTGTTCAAAAATCTAGGGAATGTATTCTTAGTTAATTAAATACAGCTTATCTTACTTTAAAGAAATAATATTATGGTATGTAAATGTATGGCTTTCTCTACTTGCTTATATAATTTTTATAATTATTGCACCAAGTGTATTTCTATAAAATGATGTATTTCCCATATAACCTATGGTCATCACAGTTTATAATCTGTTACCAATAAACAGTACTACCACATCCTTGTTAAGAGTCAGAATCACCTAACCTTTGAATATTAGAGGTCTTTCATTTGATCTCATTCATTATCATCATACAGGGGGAAACCAAGATTACACAGCTAATACATGGAGGGACTGGGATTCAAAAACAGGTCTTCTGACTTTAAGCCAGTGTTCTTTTAACGTTTTCTTTAAGTCACTATATTATCTGATTAAATAATCTAATGGAAAGCACGATATACAAAACAGAAAAGTGATATTGACCAAATTTCTACTAAAATGGGATTTGAACTTACAATCCTAAAAGCTTGCTTTTTGGCTCAGCTATATATCTGTCTATTCATTCACTGAGCCAAAAGCTGCAGTGGGAATACCATGGTGTGCAAGACAAACAAAATCCTTGCCGTCACACAATTTAAATTCGATGGGAAAAACAAACGATACATAACAGAATAAAAGAAGTGATAAATATTATTAATATAAAGCTGGCCACTTTCATCACATGCTCAGTTAAAAAGCCTTGTAGCTCACTTAATGATACGGTAAAATCAAGGTCTAAGAGCTACTTGAGGATAAACTCTAATACCAAATATACCTCTATAAAGTACCAAACTGAGTGAGTTATACATTACTAGATGTATGCATCCTACACATATGTGAAGATTCTAAATATATATTTATACACATAATCTATACAAAGAGCCATGCTCAATAAAAGTTAAATTACTTCCTAAAGTTTTCTAAAGTCTTCTCTGAAATACTATAGAAAGTAAAATAATTGCTTCTCTTTTCAACTCTATTCAGCAGATGTTTTGACTATGATGGGATAAAATTTTCCATTACAGGTGCCAATTGCCAATGTACAACTGTCTGCATTATTGCTTTAATTTCTTGTAGGTACTGAGGTTATATTAACTGTTATAGTTGTTGAGATGAACTTGTGTCACACTGTCGTTTTATCCAGTTTAGTCCAAACTGGCCCTGAACTATAAGCAAATAATGATGAATATACATTTTTTTTTTGGTCTTTTGACACTAAAGGGGACTTGGAGTTGATGCCAAATTGGTATTTATTCCACAGAAATCTGAGTTTCTCAAAACAAAAACATCTGCAGGCAGATTTTAAACATGTAAATAGATGTTTACTCCACTTTGTAAGCAATGGATTATTTCAGTACTGAATCGTAATTTACCATGAATAATTTAGTGCCATTATTTAACAAAGCAGTTTAAAATATCTTTCCTTAAAAAAGACCAAGTTTACTTTAAAAAGCTTTAAATTCACAGAAATCATTTATCAATATATTTTAGAATAATAACATGAGGAAAATATAGGAATTAAGGGAAAGGGTTTGAGATCAGAGGTTTATAGTGAAGTGTTAGTTGCATACATCAAAGCTGAAAGAAAAAGGCTGCTCAGTCTAGTGAATGTAGGAATTTGCTGGACTTCTAGTTTCTGGATGAAATGAGGTATTCATGAAGTATAAAATATATAAAAATGGCTGCTACATTTTGCTATTGCTCTGATCCAGAAAGCCTCATGTCTTCTGTCAGAGTATGTATGTAAAACAAGAGCAGGATAATTTGCTAGCTTGCAAAAAGTCAACAACTCAGACCCTTCATACTTTCTGACTTAATGTACACACACACACTTCAAAAGAATCTCAAGAATTAATCATTATATGGGAGCTTCTTTTATACAAAGTTAACTAAAATTAGGTAAATTGCTGTAATATTTTGGGCAGTAAAAATAAAATCGCCTTTTTTTTCATGGTATAGGAAGATGCTATCAGTATGTAAACAAATCAGAAATTATCCATCCACAAAAACTCTTGGAATGGGTATTTTCCTCAAGAATTCTCAGGAATGTGTGTAACCAGGAAAAATCAAAAGTCAACATTTATTAAGCATATACTATGTGCATATGTTACACTGGCAATGTGATGAAACTGGGAAATGTGAGAAAACTATTGCACTGAAAGGGCATGGGGGTTCACAATCTATTGGAAGAGATAAATCCCTAAATAACTGATATGAGGTGACAAAAAGGTAAAAACATAATACAGGGATATGAGAAGTCAATTATGAAAAATTAATTTTGAAAATGGGGAGATGAAATATTTGGGGGGAGAGGGAGAATCAATTGAAATGAGGCTGGGACTGCCAATGAATATCCAGACTATGGCAGGGCAGGGAGTAGAAAACTTGGGTCATCCCTGGCTCTTTGTAAGGCATCTTATTCAGCAGGATCAATTATTGGGACTTTGCCAGAAGATGAATTTTTAAAAAAAATTCACATATGCTATCAGTCTTCTGGAATTCCAGAAGTTTTCATCGAGAATTAGTCATTCTAATCATTGTTTTCACATACTATGAAAACTGTCAAAAGAAAAATGCTAAACAGATTTAAAATAAACATTTCCAAGTTTCATTAACTACTAATTAGCATTTTAAGGTAAGAAATAATAAATTTCATTATGAAGATTTTTATTAAATTATAGTATACTACAGTTTATGTCTTAATAATAAGATTTTAATCTTTAGGGTAATATGATATAAAAACCTACTTGGCCACATTACTTCTTGAGTTTCTTTTGGGCAGCCTTCTTCTTGACCATCTGTAATCGCTTCATGGCATTGAGTTGTGATTCTTGTGAAGTTGGACCTTTAAGGGATGCTGAGGGAGAGCTGCTTGATTCTGAAGTGGTTTTGTTAGTGGTACTTCCACTAGGCCCTGATGTCCCACTATTTCCATTCCCACTTAGTTGGCTGCTGCTTCCTGGAACCAAACTACTTGGACTGGGAAGACCTACTTTGCTAACATTGTCACAACTAACTGAGCGACTAAGGCCAGTTTTGCCCAAAGTTAGAGGTGGAGGTGGTTTCAGTGGTACAGTGGGTGAAGTGCTGTTACTGGAACCTATTTTGGAACCTATTCCACCTTTGGATGATGTTGCCAGACCAGTCAAACCCACGGGCTTCTGGTTAGCTGATGAGGTAGCAGGTTTCCCGCTATTGTTTTGGGTTGTTGAACTCAATTTTGCTGTGGATGGACCAGCAGAAGAAGTTTTGGCTGCAAAAGCTGCCCATCCAGTTAGGCCACTAGTTGCTGAAGAGGAAACACTGGTACTAGAAGAATTTCCTGAAACAACCGTGGATGTCTAAAAAACATAATATAAATATTAGAGCCAAGTGTAATTAACACCTAATATAATATTCTTAAATATATAACAAGTTTAATGGTTAAGACATTTTATACAAAAATGATCTGGGAAATTTAAAGCATAGCACCAAAATTAAGTTCTGCTAAACTGATCTGAAAAAACACATACAAGAAAACCTATCCATAGCTAATGGGTGCTACCATTTATAAAGCAGAAATTATGGGATGTCATATTCTTCTTCTAATCACTGCAGAAAAAAATATATGGGAATTCCTTTTTGAGGACTGCTCCTAGATTTGGTTACAAGCCATATCAGAAAATCAGATTTAATGCTTTAACTTGTTTTTCACCCAAAAAGGTTACTATTTAGCTCAGTAAAACATCTAATTCTTTAGGCTTTGCTCCAAATGACTTGTGGATCATTTCAAAAACAGAATCCACTCTTAATGGACAAAAATGCTCACGCCCAGGATATGTAGGAGATGTCTGAGATGAAGAGATTCACTCAATAAATATTGAGTGAATACATAAGATTTTGAACCTATTTTTAAAAATCCCCCACAAATTTTGAGCAAATAGCTACTGCATTGCAAAATATATACAGATACACCATGTTAAGTACTTGGAATTGTACAACTCTAAAGGTCGAAATATACTAAGAAGGTCTCATGACTTTATTTTCACAATTTGTCCATGTTTCCACTGAAACTATCACAAAGAGATCCCTGCTTCTGTATAACATTTTTAATCAACTGCCTCATAAGCTGCATAGTGACATTTTGGGTATGCCTGACTCACTCCCAGATGTATTTCTTAAAGGTATAACACTTCAATTTCTCTAATTAACTTCCTTGGCTAGTCAAAAGCTAACAGTGATACCAATGTCGCTACATAAATATTGCTCTTATTCATATGAGAACAATTTTTTTCACCTTAACGTTTAGGGAAAAATGCACTTTGTTCAAATTAATTACGGACTGAATTTCACACTGGCACTTTTTCTACCTTCATATTCTTGAGATTCACAAAAGTGTTAAATACGTAAAAGGTAAAGTCTTACAAATAGTATCTTACTTTAAAATATGGTAGTTATCATGCTTAAAATATACTCAGTTATATTTTAGAACTGAACTCTGAATGAGTTGAGAAAAACATTTTTAGTTCTTACAAAGTAGCCGTCAATATTGTCTGCATTAAACATTTTAAACCAATGTGAAAAATAATGTAAACAGAGTTCTCTGAGGTCTTTATCAGAGGAGGGTCCAGATTATTGTTCACATACTCCAAAAAACGATAGGATTTTTTTTTTTTTTTTTTTTTTTTTTTGCCATACTTGGGCCTCTCACTGTTGCAGCCTCTCCCGTTGCAGAGCACAGGCTCCCGATGCACAGGCTCAGCGGCCATGGCTCACGGGCCCAGCCGCTCCACGGCATGTGGGATCTTCCCAGACCGGGGCACGAACCCGTGACCCCTGCATTGGTAGGCGGACTCTCAACCACTGTGCCACCAGGGAAGCCCCGATAGGATTTTTTACAGTAACATCATACAATGACTATCTCATAAGGTTATGCAAAGAAGATAAACTTTACATCAATTACAAGTTCCTAGAGATATGCATACAGGTAATGAAAAAAAGTTAGTCAAGGAAGCAAAAGGACACAGGTGTAGCAAACTTTTAATTTTCAGTGATGAAAGATCTGATTTTTTCCTTTTCTTTATATTAAACATAAAACTGCCTGCTATATGGCTAAATGATCTTTCAACAAACTTCACAAAAGAAAACCCATCTGAAGTAATCAAAAAGACCAACACTTATGAAGTACAAAGCAAGTTCTGTGTGTATGGCATTTTATTTTAACGGTTTGCTGTTACTGGTATTGCTTTTCAACTGAATGACAGATGGCTTATAATACTATCAGGATGCACAAAAGTAAAATAACACAAACAACGGAGACCAAGTAATTTCTTACTATTCCAGTGCAGAAAATAAATTTCACAATTGTTCTCAACTAAAAATATTTTCTTGCCTATTATCCTAGTTAGAAAGCTATTTTTAAATTGCTTTTTATATATAAATGGGAACAATTTTTTTCATAGTAAAAATTTATTATATTTTATCATAAAAACGTCAAAACCTCTTCTTAATCAGAACATGACAGCCAAGGCCTTAATTTATTTGCTGTAAAATAATTTCATACTGGTTTCCTAAAAATAAACTTTAGTAGTAACAGGTTAGTATAAAAAGCTACCTAAAAGTGATTTAAGTATAGAATATAGCAACTCTAATTACTTTCAATAAGTTATTCTTACTTCTATTCTAGCTCACCAAGTTTCTATGTGACAAATCAATAATGGATATCCCTTGGATATCAGCTCTTCCCTGGTAAATTAAATTAAAAATGATCTGCAAATAAAATTATCAGTATCCTTCTCAGAGTACTTTATACTCATATTCTTTATCATCAAACCAATGTTCTTGATCTTTGCTACTTACAGCCACTTGGACAAGGTAACAGCTTTAGAATTTTCTGGGGTTAACCTTTGAGAATTTGGGGCTAACATTTTTTTCTTCCATCTTTAAAATTCCATCTTCTGCTTAAAACTGGAATGTGAAACTCAATAAAAGCATTCTTTTTGTTATAAAATTAGATTAGAAAAATATTTTATTCCATGATATCAAAATGCCAGAATATTAATAATAATGTAGCATGATATCAAGGATGAAAATCTAGGAATGAGAAAGGTGATACTCTCACTAGATAATCTGGCTCCTTAGTATAAGAGAGGGCCAATTCATGGGGAAAATTCATGATAATAATAGAAAAAAATAAGACAAAGAAGAAAACTTCAATAGCCAATAAGCAGGAAGAAAAAAGCTATGGGGCCAATCAGCACAAGTAATGTGAGGAGCAAAACTACTGCTACTGAGGACAAAGGTATTTAGAATTTAAACCAAATTCCCAATTGGAGAGAAGTGGCTGACTACATAGGAATGGTAAAGAATGTTATCTTGGAATGCTCACAAACAGTTCCTAATCACCATAAAAAGAGAAATAGCAGAGCTCAAGATTAAATAATTACATAAATGTTCTCTTTCTACTCAATGTTAATAGTAATGTAGTCTTAATGTAGTCTTAATTTCCAACATATGGCCATTTAGTATACAAAGTTTCACATTATTTTTTTTCCCAAGTAACTATTAAGTCAACTAAATTTAAATCCAATCTTAGATAAAAATGGAATATACTATACCTTGACTTCTGATCTCTTAAATGCTAGAAAAGTTAACTCTTGCTTGAGTTTAGTTTCTGGTTTCTTAACCAATGGATCTTTAACAGCAGGAGCTACAGAAACAACTGTGGGGGCTGGTTTCTGTGGTGGTTTCTGAGTTTTTTGAGCCTGCAAAAATCAGTGTTAAGATTAAATTAGCTACAAAATCTTAGTTAAATGCACAGAAAGACAATAAAATCTATCACAGGACTCCTCATTGAATTGAAATACAGATGAACATTAAAAAAATATTGTGATGACACTGAAAATATAGATTCTTCGACAAATTATTTGTATCATCATATTAATTAATGGTTTTATAGATTTTATTAGTTTCTAAACAGTAAAGATAATACGAAACTTTAAAAATTATCCAGATTAGGGTTAATTAAATGTCATTTTAACAAAACCAAATTGATAAAAAGAAAAAGAAAAAAAAAAAATCACATAAGCATTTTCAGTTTTATTTTGACCAAAAATTGACTTTTCTTTTATTTTATATTAGGTACTTCACTAAACTCTCTTGTGAACTCTAATCATTTTTCAGTTTGTTCTTTAGTGTTCTCCAGCTAGATAATATTAACTATATAAACAGTATAGTGCAGTGTTTGAGAGGACAGTCTTTGGAGTCAAACAGAACTAGAATCAAAACCCAGCTCAACTACTTCCCTAGCTATGTTACCTCAAGTAAAATATGTAAATCTCTAAAAGTTTCATTTTCATTTGCAAAATGGGGATAATATCTTGTTTCAAAGGTGGGTTATGAGAATGAATTGTGATTACGTAAGCCTTTACATAGTGTCTGGCACATATTAAGTGCAGACAATAATAGTTACTATTTATTCATTATCATTATTTACAAAAGGTAAGAAAACTGAATCTGAAAGAACCCATCTCTACGGGATGGGTAAAGATGCTCCCTGCCATTCCATTGTCCTTGACAATCCTAATAAGGCCATGCAAGACAATACCAGAAAATGTATTAATAATGTGTTCTCATTTCTGGAAATTTGAATGCAGCTGTTTTATCTCTGTTTAGACTTTCTTGTGCTATGGTTTGCCATACAATATAATTTTCAGCCTTAAGTCTCAATTCATCCCATTTTTTATATTACAAACTTTCCACATGAAAGTACAACTAATTTCAGACATCACTTATAAAGCAACACTCAGATCAAGAATATTATTAAGGATGCTGTTAGATATCTATGATAAAAATATCTCTTACGACCAAGAAAGATTATCTTACCCTCTACTGCAAACCACGTTATGAAAATGTAGCCTTCAGAGTAAATCAGAAATACATGGTTCCATACCCATGGCTTTCAATCTTATACTTCCCTCTATGCACATCAGTAGATGTGGTGAGACTCTGAAGACCCACCTAACTTGTATGCTTTAGCAGATGAAGATTCATTACAGTGAAGCCCAGAAAGAACCTCTGCCTAGGAGATCATGTTTGGATCTTTCTCTGCGTCCTCTATTTCACCTAGCCATCTTAGAAGCTGAGTAAGAAATACCCAAAACCCTTTGTCCTTCGCTGGTAATACTAGTTTAGGGAACTAGGATATTGTCACTGACTCAGTGTTGCTCAACAAAGGCACTATAATTTTTCATTGGGTGACTGACTCACACAGTGCAGAATATATGACATTCACCACTCAAGGCGACAGTTGCCAGTATGGCAGCAATCAAAATTATCATGTATTTTTATTACTGCTGAGTAGGAGTGTGTTACCACCTTAGATTGAGAACCACTGCAGTAAGTCATGAGTCTCTCACCTAGTGCTGGGGCAAAACCCATTACCTGGTAGACAGAAAATTACAAAACAAAAGAATAATCTTGGACCCTGCCACCCACCATTCTTAACTCTGTCTTCCCGTCTTCCTATAATAATGTGTACTGCAGAATCTGCCCTAGTTAAGAAATTAGTGCAAGGAGAAAGGGGATATAAGATGTTATTTATGGTATCCTTGAGATATCTTGGACCAATAACCAATGCACATATATATGAGAACGTCACTGAAAGCAATTATAGTAAGAATGACTGGATTTAGCATCCCCACCATTTCCAAATTTCTTTCTCTCACTGAACATTGTGTTTACCAGATCCTAATCTTCAGGCTTACTTCAGATCACATCTTTTGGTATTTCTCCAGGTCCACTCTTGGTGTATCTAATCATGTTCTGACATTAGTCATGGCCCCTTATTCAGCACTTGACTCTTGGACATACAGACTGAACTTACTGACTGCAGATTTCTGGTGCAAATCTATATTTCCTCCATTTATGTATCTTAAAATGAGAACAACAGAATGTGTGATGTGTCCAGTCCTGAGCTTTGCTCTGGTGCTTTGCCAGTGAATGAGACTAGGTCTTAATGACAAATTAATTAGACATTTAATTTGCAAAGTTGATAAAGAATAAAAGGTATCCCAGATGAGGAGAAGCTGAGAAGCAGGACATATGGGAACACGAAAAGTTCACCACATACTCAGGGAATGAACCATTTGGTCTGGCATGGCCACAGTATGTGGGTGTATATGATGAAGTGGTGGGAGAGAAGGATACAAAGGTAGAGTTGGGTCAAAGAGAGAAGGTCCATACATCCACTCTAACAAGGAAAACTTCATTATATAGGTAATTGAGAGCCACTGGGCACACTTAAACAGATAAAGTTAGATAATTACTTTAGAAGAATATTCTAACTGCAGTGTGTAAAGTGGACTGAAGGAGCTAAAGCAATAGACAAGAAATGAGGGGTTTGTGGGACAGGGTAACAAAAGTGAAATGAACAGATTTGTGAAATACATAAGAGGTAGAATTAACAAGTTTGGTAAACAAAGGGATGTGGAATTAAGAGAGGCATCAAGGATAATGTTTTCTAGTTCAGGCAACTGAGGAAAAATTGAGTGGAGAAGAAAACAATTTTAATTTTAAAAGCATTGAACTTAAAGTAACTGTAGGATATCTGGTCAGCTGCCAAAATTCATTCCAGGAAGAGGGTTAGAACTATAAATATAGACCTGGTGTAAACTAAGTCACAAAATGTAAGGGAGTAAAAACTTAGGAGAGAACGGTACTTACTTTATTAAGAGACTTACAATAAAATAATAATAAACTTTGAAGCTATACTAAAGAAAGATTACTGTCACAAATTATTTATTTTGACTACCAATTCTTAGTGACTACTTGTGTCAAGGCACTGGAATGCACTGTTGTGCTCACCCGTAATTACTTTGGTTGAGGTCCTGGGGGGCTAGTTTAAGTAATAAACTAAATAAAAATCAGACTGAGCAGAGAACAATTGTATCATGTCAAAGAAATTTCCCATTACAAACAGAAAGTATAAATACTACTGAAATGTTACTACTTTTCATAGGAATAAAACATAATCTATTTCTGATTTGAGTGATTAAAAAGTAAAGTAGGTATCTTGATTTTTTTTTTCTTATTTTTAACTAAGTACTTCTAACTTTAAAAAGATATATTTGGTCAGAAAAATTTATGTAGAAACTCACTTGGTTAACAATATGAGAACTCTTTTATCAAGAGTCCCTAATCTTCTGGAGAAAACTACAATTCGAAATGATACATGCACTCACTATGTTCACAGCAGCACTATTTACAATAGCCAAGACTTGGAAGCAGTCTAAATGTCCACTGACAGATGAATGGATAAAGAAGATGTGGTATATTTATACAATGGAATATTCCTCAGCCATAAAAAGAATGAAATAATGTCATCTGTGGCAACACGGATGGACCTAGAGATTATCATACTAAGTGAAAGAAAAAGACAAATACAATATGATATCATATGTGGAATCTAAAATGTGACACAATTGAACTTATTTATGAAACAGAAACAGACTCACAGAAAACAGACTTGTGGTTACCAAGGAGGTGGGAGAGGTGGGGGAGGGATGGATTGGAAGTTTGGAATTAGCATATGGAAACTATTATATACAGAATGAGTAAACAAGGTCCTACTGCATGGCACAGGGATATTCAATATCCTGAATCACTTTGTTGTATACCAGCAACTAACATAACATAAATCAACTATACTTCAATAAAAAATAAAATTAAAAAAAAAAAACAAAAAGAGAGTCCCTAATCTAAGGCAGGGGAGGGCGGATGGGGGAAGCAAACAAGTCACTGAAGTAAATAACAACTTGATTTCTTTAAAAGGAAGATGATAACATTCATCCATCTACTATTTAAATAAGTTAGAAAACTATCCAATATAACAAATGAAAACATGTTTCAGTACGAAATTAAAGACAGTTATGTTTGTGAGCAGTAAACTGAGAAAGTACTGGGGAATATAGGATAAATGGTCACTTGAAGACAATGAGAAGGAAAGACTGAGGAACAGAGAGAGAAACACAGGAGGAAAGACAGAGATGCACATACAAATACTGCCTCTGTACACAGTTTGTAAGTTTGGTGGTTTACACTCACTCAGGAATAGATATTTCTAATATTTCCTTACCAGACTCAGCAGAGTCTGGGGCTTTGTATCTCACCACTTCCCACAGTGCTTTATGTTTATAAATACACTGACATACCAGTAAGGAATATTTATATTTTGTGGGTCTCCAATTCTGACTTTTATAATAGAACAAGTTAAAAGCTGAGCAGAGAAAAATGCATATACATGGTCTGGTCCATTTAGGCATAGACACAAAAATCACACATATACACAAACATTTAAATCATCAGCTTATAAGATTTTTTTTCAATAACATAAATGTTCAAATTTTTATCTTAAAAAGCACATATCAACAAAGAAATTGACAGAGATTGTTTAAAATAGAGAAAAATGATTCCTACCATTCTTTTCATTTGTCTGGTACACCGGGCACAATACCACACAAGGCGAGGGTCATTCACTTCCTTGTCTGTCACCTGCGGCTTATGGCAATCTTGGTGGTAGAGATTATGGCATTCCTGACATTCTACTAATTGATTACCAGATGCCACTGTCATTTGCCTAAGAAAGTATACCATTAAATATTACATTTATTTGAATGCAACAATTTAAAGCCATTTTAGGGTTGTTCTGGTAAAGTTTGATAAATTAAAGAGGGTAAAAACCCCAGAAAAGCCAAAGAGCAAAGTAACGAATCCCAACATTGTAGCCTGCACAAACAATTCATTTCTTTTAAAGGTTATGCTCAGCCATTAAGAAATGTATAAGATGACTTAAAGACTAAATTTGGCTATATTCTCCTTGTCATTTCTCATTGCAATTTTTTTCTTTCTCACAGAAGGTACACAGTAGACTTTGGCTAGTCCTCCAACAGTCTCATAACATCTTCTTTGTACCTCTATTAAATTCCTTTATATTTGCTGCCTACATATTGTTCTATCTTCTTCATTAATATTTGAGTTGCCTAAAGTTAGAAACTGGACCTAATTAACTATAGGGCCTAGCACATTACTGCGCAGACACAGGGTGTTCAATAAATAAATGTCTTAACTAAATAGAATGCAGTAATATGTGTATCAAAAAAGTATAAATTCCAACAGCAACAGCCTTAGACTATCATAACAAGTCTCCTTACGGAGGGTTACAATTACTAGTCCTTTCCCCCTTATTACTTTACCATTTACTTCTTTATATAAAAATGATAACTCTTATAGTAGATAAAAGTTGAAATAAACAAATATATGTTAAAACAATGAAGCTCTAACGAAATGATCCTATTCAGAAGTACATTAACTGATTCTCTATAAGGTTCACAAAAGTTTATAGGTATGCACTCAGTCCCAATGCACCAGAATTTAACATTTTCATGAAGAAAACAGCAACAAAGGTGGTAATTTTTTCTGTTGTGCTAGGCAATGAAAGTCATTAACAATTAAAGACATAGCTCCTGGCATCAAGGAGTTTAAAATCTAATTATTCTGATTTTTAAGATGCATCTTCTACTAAGCAGAATTATCTATGTTTTTATAATTATGAATCCATGTTTCAAAACAACACTCAGAATAACCTACATGATCCATTAATTTCATTTCCATTATCCTTAGGAAAAGATTTAATGGTATTTTAGAAAATGATATATAACCATTTACTTTATAAATACTATCAACACTTCAGGGAAAAAAAAGCAACATAGTCTTCTTAAACAGAAAGATGAGGGGCTTCCCTGGTGGCGCAGTGGTTGAGAGTCCGCCTGTCGATGCAGGGGACACGGGTTCGTGCCCCGGTCAGGGAAGGTCCCACATGCCTCGGAGCAGCTGGGCCCATGAGCCATGGCCGCTGAGCCTGCGCTCCGGAACGGGAGAGGCCACACAGTGAGAGGCCCGCATACCGCAAAAAAAAAAAAAAAAAAAAAAAAAAGAAAGGTGAAAATAATTAAGTCTGCTGAACAGACTCTTTCTCACTAAAAAATAAAGCAATAATTGCTTTCCCTCTAGAAGCCAAGAACGCAGAAAATATTACTACAACATAACTGATTAAAGATGCCTGTCAAGAATATAAAATTTTGACAATTTTTAAGACACTAAATTGCCATATGCCATATGCCATAAGGTTTATCTACTTACCGATCTACTTATCTCCTACCCACCTTCAAATTATAAAAACAAAATTAAAAAAACACCCAACAATTGGTCTTTTTTTTTTTTTTAAGTTGTTTGCTCTTTACAAAGACACAAAAGAATCTGTGGCAAGGTACAACTAACCTACAAACAACACAGGCCAATCCCATCTCCATGGCAAAATCATCAGCACTGGTCTCCTCAAAGCTGGAAAGGTCAGTCATAGCTAAATCCTTGCTGGTTTGGACAGTAATGGGAGAGGACCGTGTCTCTGGTTTCTCCAATCTAGGTTTCTTTGGAATATCAACTCCTTCAGTGATGTCTGATTTCATCTATAAAAAGCACCCAATCAGAAAGTAACATGTTAGAATAAACTTTAAATCACTGAGAGATGTGATAGACATCTATCACATCTATCACAAGATAAGATAGACAGTGTGCAATGACCAAGTCCACTCAACAGATATTTTCACATAGTTAGGGAGAGATGTACACACTAAAGACCTGGAGAACATTTATAATAAATTCATAATCAGTATGTTAAAAGACTCCAACAAGGTAGAAATAAATAAATCAGAACAGTTTAGCATGCATCTGTATTTCTCTTTGTACTCTTTTATCCATTAAAGAATCCTGGAAGTTCAGTGGATTTACTTACAGTGCCCTCCCAACCCCCCACTGGATGCTTTGAATTGAGAAGCCATAGTACTACTAAGGCTATTTTTAAGGCTATTTTAAAATTTTAAATAATGAAGTAGTGATAGTTAATATATATTGAAAAGAAGTAAATAATGAACTTCTACCAGTCGTTCAGGCTTAACACATTGCCATACTTGCTTCAAACATCCACTATGTCTAATAATGTTGAAGATGTACCCATCCCATTACATCCACTTATAGGTATACATCCTATAGAAACTACCACCATGTGGGCAAAGACATACGTATAAAGCAGCTCACTGAAACCCCACTGTAATAGAGGAAAAGGAGAAATAAGCTAACTGCTCATCAGCGGGGGAATGGATTAACTGGTTTATTTATAGAATTAATATTCCACATGTTAGCTGAAAGAAATGTTCAAATCTACATGTATCAACATAGGTAAATTTCAAAAGCACATTGCTGAGTGGAAAAAGTTGCTAAAAGATATATATGAGATATATATATGGAAAATAGAGATATATTTTCTAAATATTGGCTATTCATAAACTATATTATATTGTTTTCTGTGCTTTTAAATTTATATAAAAACAATGCAATATAGTTTATGAATAGCCAATATTTAGAAAAAAGTATGAAAACACCCCACCTTAAGGGCAGGGGTAGTAAAAGTTTTTTTAAATGTATTTTTTACTAAGTGCTAAAATCCTAATAATTATGTGCAGAAATCATTCAAAATAGACAATCCAAGAGTTATCTGTATCTGTTATCTGTAACCCTGTTAAGGTACACCATTCTGTAACAAATTTCATGTTTAGTCATTTACATCTTTATTCTTTCCTCGCCATCTTTTCTTTTCAACAACAGTTCCATCTAGAATACTTGAGTTATACATGAAATTAGTACATCTTCTAGTGCTCAAATATTTATTGACAACGACTTCAGTAAATGGTTTTAAAATGTTTCTAAATTTTAATTTCAAAAAACCAATATCCATAATTATCAAAATATATTTACTGAGTGGTTATTATGTACTTTTACCCACTATTATATACAAAAAGTAAGCACAAAACGTTTTCTGGCCTATAAACTGATTGATTCATTGACTGATTTACTAGAGTAAAATAAAATCTTACTTTATCAGCAGGTCTCTTTTCACCTTCCTTCTTTACCTTTTCAGTTGTTAGGACCTTGCCATTATTATTGCCAGAAGGAAGAGTGGATGATGTTTTGGGCTCTTGCTTAATGGAAACAGTTTTTGTGCTTGAAATTTTGGGTGGTTCCACATCCTATAGGTGAAATTAAAAAGATACCCATAATTAAATATTCAGACTATCTAATATACTATTAAAAAAAACAGATCATAAATCTAAACAACTATCAGTTAAAAATTAAGACATCATGTAGTGACCAATGTGTTGCCTTCTTCTTTAAACAACTTTATTGAGGAATAACTGATATACAAACTGCACCTAGTTAAAGTGTAAAATTGGATATGTTTCGCTCTATGGTTTCACGACAATCAATATAAGGAACATATCCATCATCTCACAAAGTGTCCTGGTTGCCCTTTGTAATCACTCTTAGAGGTAGACATCCTAGAAAAACTTCACTCTTAGAGGTAGACATCCTAGAAAAACTAAGCCACCCAGTCTCAGGCAACCACATATCTGCTTTCTGCAACTATAGATTAGTTTGCATTTCCTAGAAATTTTCATAAATGGAATCATGCAGTATATACTCTTTTTTTCTGGCTTCTTTCACTCAGCAATATTTATTTTGAGATTCATCAATGTTGTTGAGTGTAGCAAAAGTTCATTTCTTTTGTTGCTGAATAGTACTCCATTGAACAAATACACCATGATTTGTTTATTCATTTACCTATTAATGGACATTTGGGTTGTTTCCAGTTTGACCTATTACGAATACAGATATTATGAACATTCAGGTACAAATCTTTATATGGACATATACTTCCATTTCTCTAGAATAAACATGTAGGAGTGGAATGTCTGGATCACATGGTAGGTTTATGCTTAACTTTTTATGAAACTGCCAAACCATGTTCCAAAGTGGTATACCATTTTACATTTCCATCAGGAGTATATGAGAGTCCCAGTTCCTTCACATCCTCATATCCTCACCAATGCTTGGTATGGCTAATCTTTTTAATTTTAGACATTTTAATAGGTATGTAGTGGCATATCACTGTAGATTTAATTTCCATTTCCCTAATGGCTAATGGTGTTAAACATTTTTTTCAAGTGCTTATTTGCCACACATTTATCTTCTTTGCTAAAGCATTTGTTAAATTATTGAGTATAAAGAGATCTTCACAGATTCTGGATACAAGTCCTTTATCAGATACATCATTTGCAAACCTTTTCTCTCAGTCTGTGGCTTATCTTTCCATTCTGTTTTAAACTTGCAATCCTTGTTATTTTTACTCTTTGATATGTATATATATTTGTTATCTGTTGCTGTTAAAAGAAAGCTTATGCATATAGTAGCTCCTTGGAATTATACCCAGTTGATAATGTTTATAAGCACACCACTGCTTCTAGGTGATTCTCACACAATTCTAGAGATGGAAATGTCCAGTTAAAGACTAAAATTAAATGCATCTGTGTTTTAAAAACACCTAGCAGAGTATTTTCTCTAAACTGACCATGAGAAGTCATTTCCAGTTAGAAACCTAAGGGCAGGAGGCTTTTTAATTGTAACAAACTTCTTATGTACTTTAACAGATGAAATTCCTTCTGTTTTAGAATCTCAAAATACTGCTTCTTTAGTAATAATAGGAATTTCCTGTTTGGCCTATATCCATACTCAGAGCAGACTGAATTTGTTAGTATATTTTGTTGAGTTTTATTAATTTGGTTGGCTTGAGCTCTTTGAACCTACCAGAATGAGAATGGTGAAAGAAATGAAGTCACAATGGCTTTACTACTCAAAAGACAATAAAAAGGTTTGAGAATACTAGAGGTAGCTTTCAAAGAAGGCTGGGAGCAAAATATCACTGATCACTTGGACACTGAGTCTGGGACTTGGCCCTGTCTTCAGTTTGAGATTCTGGATTAGACTGAGCTAGTCGTGTAGTTCTGTCCTCTCCTTCTCAGTTTGGTGTCTAGGTGTTCATAGACCTGGGTGACACAAAGTTTCAAGGCTAGAGCTTTAGAATGGTTTGAAAGAATGTCTTAGGTATTAGAGAATCTAATAAGAGCTATCATTCACTAAAAGTCTATTATGTACCAGGTAGACACTGCACTAGGTGGCTGACATACTTTATCTCTTTTAATTTTCACAACTTTGTAAGGTAGGTCTTATTATCCTCATTTTAATAATAAAGAAACAGAGGCTGGGTGAAATGAAGTTACTATGTACCTCAATTTCCTTACTGTAAAATAAAAATAAATAATACCTATCTCAAAGGATAATTACCACAACTAAAATTAATGATAAACATATACCACTGAGAAAAGTACCTAGGACACAGTAAATGTTCAAGATATGTTATCTATCACCACACTAGTAAGAGGTAAGCTGGGATTTAAAACAGGTTTGTCTGGTTCCAAAATGTATATTCTTTTCACATAAAGCTTTGTTATTATTATGGGAGCTACACAGTTCTCACATTTCATCCATACCTCCTTTATTCCTTACATTATCCTATACATATTTAATTCACTTCATTGCAAAATCCCTGTCCTTTTATTTTTCGCCCATAAAACGTTAGAGAATAATTATAACACAGGTTACGGTTTCATTCAGCAGCTTAAAAAAATACTCTGATCATAAGGAATTAGAAACTGAAATATATCTTAAGTAGGTTTCTATAGGAATAAAGTAGTAGAACTGAATATCCCCCACTCCCAGCTAACTTCTCTATATAGTGTAACAGTTCTCTGAAAGCTTGAAGGAAGAAAAGAACACTATAAATTTCTTCATTCCACAAGAAAAGATTATTTGGCACAGAGATTGTTTCGAGACGTTCTAAATGTTAACACTGTTCTACTACAGGCTTTACAAAACTTCCTCCAAGCTTTTTATCCAGGTAGGTACCTTTTGAGATGGACGGTAACTTGAATCAATGCCCCGAGCCAAAGATTCATCAAGCAGTGCTTTTAGCTTTTCAGCAGAATCCTTACTCTTTGAATGTAAGAAGCCTAGTGCTTTCAAAAAAATGGGATCAAGTTCCAAGTTCACAGTAGCAGCCATTGCAAACACCTGAAGTAAAAAAAGAGGAAAGTAATTTACAGACAACGGGTAATTATCTGTCAAAGTTTTTCTTGTTCTTTTGTTTATAATAGGTAATACTGTGCACCTGATACAAAATTCATACTGTCCAAAAGGTTATTACGGATAAAAGTAAATTTTCTCTAACTGGCATTATCTAGTTCTTTTCTCCTGAAGCAAGAATGTTACCAGTTTTCTCTGTATCCATATCCTTGGCAAAATTTTAAATCCAGATAAGCTCCTCCTTGCCACAGAGCCCCTTCCTAACACCTGGCTGCCTTGGGTCTTTGTTGCTGCGCACGGGCTTTCTCTAGTTGCATTGAGCAGGGGCTACTCTTCCTTGTGGTGCGTGGGCTTCTCATTGTGGTGGCTTCTTTTGTTGCAGAGCATGGGCTGTAGGCACGAGGGCTTCAGTAGTTGTGGCTTGCAGGCTCAGTAGTTGTGGCTCGCTGGCTTAGTTGCTCTGCGGCATGTAGGGATCTTCCCAGACCAGGGGGCTCGAACCCGTAACCCCTGCATTGGCAGGCGGATTCTTAACCACTGCGCCACCAGGGAAGTCCCCTAACACCATTTTAAAATAATACACATAATTCAGTACAGGAACTTGATGTGTTTAGATCAAGTTTAGTATATGTCAAAATTTCTTCTTCTCAAACCTTATTTTTTTTTTTTTTTGCGGTACGCGGGCCTTTCACTGCTGTGGCCTCTCCCGTTGCGGAGCACAGGCTCCGGACGCGCAGTCTCAGCGGCCATGGCTCACGGGACCAGCCGCTCCGCGGCATGTGGGATCTTCCCGGACCGGGGCACGAACCCGTGTCCCCTGCATCGGCAGGCGGACTGTCAACCACTGCGCCACCAGGGAAGCCCTCAAACCTTATTTTCAAAAAAAAAAAAAAAAAAAAAAAGAAAAAGAAAAGAAAAAGATTGGGGGAAGGGTGTCACTGGAGGACAATGGTTAGAGGACGTATTAAGCAATAAGCTTTAAAGGTCCGTGCTGAAACTTTTACCTCAACTATCTTTTTTTTGCCTCCTCAGTCCTCAGCCCCAATTCTGAGTGCCTCAGAAAACATACTAATGATAATCTTATTGCATCACATTTAGATTGTGGTGTCTCATGCATTAACCTGTTTTTGAGAAGCAAGGTGTCTGAGAAATAGTGCCAAACCATATATATATATATGGATCTCCCATAGGGCCTATGATATTCTCTGTGTCCTAAGGAACTGAAAAAATAGTGAAGATATACGTCAAAGACTTAGAAATTCTAAAACATTGAAACGTTTTGTTTTCAGCTAATACCAATGCTATCATGTTGTTCTACTTCCGGTGTTACTTTTTCAAATATTTCTCCAGGCAAGGAATTATTAAAATAAAAATGTATACTTTGTGTTCAATCCTTTGATCAACATTCTAGGTCTTGAAATTGTCTTCTATCCCGGAGGTTAATATAATAATGCAACAAACTTGCTAGAGTTAAGGATCTGTCAGCAATTCCACAGTAATCTCTCATTTTCAGGGGGTTATAAAGCCATTAAAACTTGCTGTAGGGCTTCCCTGGTGGCGCAGTGGTTTAGAGTCCGCCTGCCGATGCAGGGGACACGGGTTCGTGCCCCGGTCCAGGAAGATCCCACATGCCGCGGAGCGGCTGGTCCCGTGAGCCATGGCCGCTGAGCCTGCGCGTCCGGAGCCTGTGCTCTGCAACGGGAGAGGCCACAGCAGTGAGAGGCCGGCGTACCGCAAAAAAAAAAAACCAAAAAACTTGCCGTAGATTGAATCTTGGCATATGAAAGTTCAGCCTGAAAGTAGATTTTGTTTGTTCCTTCCCCATCCACTTCCCCCCTAATATTTCTCCAACTCTCACAGGAAACACACACACACACACACACACCTCACTAGCCTTTTTTTTAAGTTTTAAACAAGGTATTAGATATTTATCTGATAGCCACAAAATTATTCTCAAATTCTGTGCTCTACTCAATCACCCATGAGAAGCGGTCTAAAGGCCAATACTAAAAGAAAAATAATCTACCTCAAACAGTTATAAATTGGTAAAAATTTAATAAAAATTGAGAAGCAACCTCTCTCACTTCCTAAGATTGTATTATTACATACATCATCTATATATAATGATAGGTACAGAAAGGTGGGGGTTTATTTGTTTTAAATTTACTCATGAGGCTGGTCATCATATACATTCTGAGGAGAAGAGTTCCTCATTAAAATGTCCATGATGAGAAGGAGTAAAGCTGCCACTCCTGAGTGCACAAGGGAACACAGCCTAGTCTTTCTACTGACCTAACTTTTTTGGTTAGCTAGAGAGCTAACAATCTGTATTATGAGGTACTGAAAATATTGAAACTTAAAAGAATCCTTTTAATATACTAGAAAAACCGTTACTTGAAATTTCTATGCTGAAAATTAGAAGCCAAGTATTTATGGTTATGTATTTCCATAATCACAGATAAAAGGTTTACATTACAGATTAGGTGAGAAGAGTCAGCACCTAGATTAGGAGACCAGACCACAGATCACGTCATCAACACCAATTTGGAGTCAGTTCTTTTTATATGATCCTGCAATTATACAACTGAACAGACTTTATACCCCTGCCCTAAATTACTAACATATTCCTCTAGCCAGTGGTCTCCACAGTGGAATACAGAGAAAAAAAATGTTAGAATTTCTTTTTTATTTTTAATCTTTTATTAAAAAAAGCTATTAATATACATAGTGATAGCAGTATATGCATATAATTGGCAACTAAATACACATATAAGGAAGTGAGCTCAATTTTTTTACTCATGGAATGAATGATGAGAATACTTTGGAGACCAATACTTTAGCCTTTCTAGCAACTTCCAGTTTCCCTTTCCCTATTATATATACATAGTGGCTGCTTTAAGGTACAAACTTACCTTCCCCTTGAAAATCCCTCCAGCACTCATTCAGCTCAGCCCTTCCCCCTTTCCACATTAACTTCATTGCTAGTTGCCCGTCGTCTTCTAGCCCCTACTCATTACCAACATATTCCCCTATATTTTCCATTTTTTTCTCGAGCAGTCCTTTTATCGCTTTACCTTTACTATCCCCACTCATCCACACAGACATCCCCTGTTTTACAGCCTTCTCCCAAGTAATGAGTTGTTCCTACTCAAAGAGCAAAGAGCAATACTCCATATCGCTGCTTTTGGAAAAATATTCCACGATCACCATTTATCAACATCTTCTCTTGAAATCCACACCTGCATCTTCATTGCTGCTAATGTACAGAACATTTGTACCAAGCTCATCTTTTCCTCTCCCCCTGCCATCATCTTTGGTAATTTTAGCATATATATTGATGTTCTTCTCCAACTTCCTGCACTAGTTTTATTTAGATCTTCAACCTCAAGGAGCTTCATCTTCAGCCACTGAAACCTGAAACTTGACACAAGTATTCTCCTGCTTGACTACAGTCAATTCTCCTTTTTAACTACAATCTTCCATCACTCTATCTCTTTTACTGCTTTGACCCAGGAGCCTCCTCAGGGTACCAAGTCAATCTTTCTTTCTTTTAAAAAATTTATTTACTCCCATTCGTCTATCCTTTGAATTTATAGAGACCTCCACTTTCTTGGTCCCTCTCCTTTCTCCTTACTGGCACCTTCTTGACCGAACATCTTTTCCTTGTCCAACAGAAAAAACAGGAGTTGGGCCTAAAATAAAACACTCATGGTTATGTGTTTTATCCTTTATATTTTAGTTTTCTATCTTCCTTTCCCTCTCCCTTTTCTATTGCCTTCTCCAGTTTCTACTACTTCTCCTTTCTTACCAGCAAACGCACATACAGCAGTCCCCCTATTACCTGTGGTTTCACTTTCTGATATTTTAGTTACCTGCAGTTGGAAAATACTGAATGGAAAATTCCAGAAATAAACAATTCATAAGTTTTAAATTGCACGCCATTTTGAGTACTATGATGAAATCTCATGCCAGCTCCTTAGCTCAGTCCATCCTGCTTGGGATGTGAATCATCCCTTTGTCCAGTGAATCCCATCTGTTAGTCACTAGCCAGCTCAGTTATCAGATTGACTGTCATGGTATTGCAGTGCTTGTGTTCAGGTCACCTTATTATTATTTATTTAATGTTCCCAAAGAGCCAGAGTAGTGATGCGTGCTATTCAGATATGCCAAAGAAGTTGCAAAGTGCTTCCTCTAAGTGAAAAAGTGAAAGTTTTAAACTTAATAAGAAAAAAACTGTATGCTCATATGCTGAGGTTGCTAAAATCTATGGTAAGAACGAGTCTTCTATCTGTGAAATTGTGAAGAAGGAAAATTTGTGCTAGTTTTGCTGTCGTACCTCAGAGTGCAAAAGTTATAGCCACAGTGCATAAGTGCTTAGTTAGAATGGAAAAGGCATTAAATTTGTGGATGGAGGACATGAACAGTATATGTTCCAACTGACAGCAATATGTTGGGCCAGAAAACATTGAACATCTACAAAAACTTCAGCAAGAGATCCCCTGAAATGAGTGACACCACACCATTTACTGCAAATAAAGGATGGTTACACAGATTCAGGAATAGGTTTAGACTGAAAAATATAAAAATTACTGGAGAGGCTGTGTCTGCCAATGAAGAGGCCACTGCCACATTTCTGGCAGAGTTGAAGAACCTGAGGAGAGAGACCATGTTCACATAACTTTTATTATAATATGTTGTTATAATCATTCTACTTTATTATTAGTTATTGTTGTTAATCTCTTACTGTGCCTAATTTATTCATAAAACTTTATCACAGGTATGTATGTATAGGAAAAAACCCAGTATATATAGGGTTTGGTACTACCCATGGTTTCAGGCATCCACTGGGAGTCTTGGAACATATCCCACATGGATAAGGGGCGACTACTGAATAGTGAAAGAAATTTATTTCCTGCTACTGAAGTCCTAAAGAGGTCAGCAACTGTGTAAATTTGTCACTTTATCTCCTTTATTATTTCCAAGAATATTTTCCAGGAGTTACACCAAATCATGTTACTTCTATATAGTTCTTTCCTGTATATTCTAAAACTCATGATCAAAATAGATTGTAAAAGAGCTTTCTTATTGTGGATTAGAATTCTAGAAAACAAAGTCCTAGGTGTGTGTAGATATAGATACAAATATATACAGAAATTTAATGCTTTAAATGTAGATTTAATTTCAAATCTAGATGTTGCTTTAAAAAAAGAAGAATGCAGAAAACTAATAATAATCACCACTTTTAAAAATGTCAATGGCCTAGGAAGGTGGCAATAGTGGTGTTGGTGGGAACAAAGTCTTAGCTTACGTTAGGAGCTAAGACTTATATAACTTAGTTATATACAGTAAATGTATATAAGTAACACAGAAATTCCTACTTCTAAATAATCATCTTTTTTCTCCATCCTTTTTATCCTTTATGGTCCAGCCTTTCAAAGACTCTCTTTTAGCACTCTAAGCATCCTTGTCCCATAGTTCTACAGTTTCTTCTACTTTATAGTCATCCATCCTATTTACCTTCTCCCTGCCTGCACCCAAAATCTAAGTGCAGTTGAGAGGAATACATACACTCTGTATCTTCAGAGTCACTAATCCCACCTAGGCACTCAACACAACTTAGCAATCCTATCATGTTTCTCTGGTCAACTCATTTCCCCACTTTCTGCAAAGACCAGTCACATTTTCTCCATTTTCCTTGAAACTGCTTCTCTATCTTAGTAGATGTCCTCATCTACTTCACAGAGAAAACAGAAACTGTCAGAGAGGAACTAAATCAACTTTCTGACACATCTACAAATATACCTGCTCCAATCCTTTCCTCTTTCCCACCTTTTAAATAAGAGGGTGGCTCTCCATGTAATGCCACCTATGCCTGGAACCTATCTTTTTCCGCCCCCCTGAAACCTTGAGCTATGAACTATTCCTATGTCTTCTCCGCCACTCACAAACCTCCCTCCCCCGGCCTCTTTCTTTCTACTGGCATCTTTTCATTGACCTTTAAATATCTTCTATCCTATCTTCTTCATTTTATAGCAAAACTTCTCCTACATTTTATACTTTTTCTTCACTCCTTCTGCTTATATAGCATTTCCTGCAATTTGGCCTTTGTGCCACCATACCATGGAAATATTTTCACCAAAGTATTCACAGCCTTAGTCAGGTAAGTATAATAAATACTATTTTTTCCTCCTACTTCTTTCTTGGTCTTCTTTGTAGATTCCTCAAAAATCTTGAGGAATCAAAAATGGGTTGCTCAAGATTAGGTTCTGGGTCTCTTCTTTCACTCTACACCTTCTTCTCAAAATGTCCCCTTTGGATCAGCAGCAACAGGCATCACCTGGGAACCTGTTAGGAATTCAAACTCTCGGTCTCCACAACCATAGCTACTAATGAAAACACTCTGGGAGTGAGGCCCAGAAATTTGCATTAAATCTTCCAGATGGTTCTGATCTACTCTAAACGTTTCAGAATTACTGCCCTAGACAATTTGACCTATACCCTTTTGCCAGTAATTATATATTTATCTCTCCAGCCCATGCATCTCTTCCAAGATTCGACTGCCAGCTTGACTTGGATATCTCACTGGTGCCGCCTATTCAACATGCCCCTAACAGAGCCACTCATAAACTCTTCTCTCAACCAGTTCTTCCCCTAATCTTCCCTTTCTCAAATGATACTTATCCCATTGCTCCAGCCAGAAACCTGAGAATCAGCTTTAACTCCTTCCACTTCAACTCCTGACTCCCATTCAATCACCAAACCTCTTATATATATTTCAAATTCGTCTACCTTTTTCAATCCTTATTACCACACCCTAGACCAAGCTACCATCATGCAGCTATTATCTGGCCCACTGTAAGAGCTTAATCAGAACCCCACAATTGGGACTTCCCTGGAGGCGTAGTGGTTAAGAATCCACCTGCCAATGCAGGGACATGAGTTCAAGCCCTGGTCCAGGAAGATCCCACATGCCATGGAGCAACTAAACCCCTGCACCACAGCTCATGAGCCTGCACTCTAGAGCCCGTGAGCCACAACTACTGAGCCCACGTGTCACAACTACTGAAGCCTGCGTGCCTATAGCCCGTGCTCCGCAACAAGAGAAGCCACTGCAATGCGAAGCCCGTGCACTGCAAAGAGTAGCCCCTGCTCGCTGCAACTAGAGAAAGCCCGCACCAACAACAAAGACCCAATGCAGCCAAAGAAAAAAAAAAGAAAAAATTCAAAATCACTCTTGCGCCTTTCCAAATATTTTTATATCATCCACTTGCTTAAAATACTCCTTTTCACTTCTTACTGTCCAAAGGTTAAAGAACAAGATTCTTAAAAAGGTCTCTAATGCCCTACATGATCTGGTAATACATGTAAAGCAGTTACAACAGTACCTGGCACAGAGTACAATTGCTCATTAAATGTTACTTAGTATCTCAAGCTATTCCCACTTTCTGTTGTAACCACATGACTTATTTCAAATCTTTCAACATATACTCTTTCTTACCCCAGCTCTTTAGTAGAAAGCGTCCCTTGCCTCATCTTATTCACCCTTCTCGTCTCAATTTTTTTCTGTACATTCCCCTAACAAAATAAGGAGTCTTACCGTTATATGGTCCTAAAATATCCTGTATTTACAAGTCATAGCTATTACACTGTTAATTGTGTAAACAGGGTTTGTCTTTCTCACTAGAACGTAGGTTCCATGAGGGCCAGCACTGACCTTACCTACTGCTGTAATCCCTGTTTGTAGCAGAGTGCCTGGCAGATAGCAGGCACTCAGTAAATGCTGGCCAAGTGAATACATGTTATTCACTTTCTCTTTCAAAAATCTTCCTCCTCCACGAGTAACACTCAGCTTTCCTGGTTTTCTTTTTCTATCTCTGGCTACTCTTTCTCTGGGTCATCTTTTCATCCCCATTGCTCTTGGTATTGCCCAAGTATCTATTCTTGTCTATTTTCTTTAGTTCTGCTACCAATTTCTTCCGTGGTAATCTTATATATATCATGTTTTCAACTTGATTTCACATGTTTATCCCCATTCCAATCTCTATTAAGCTCAAACCCCACAATTCCAACTGCTTAGTAAACATGTGTACCTGGTTGCCTTAATGGTATCTCAAATTCAGTTATGATTGAAATTGAGATTATGGATATCTTCCCCCAAAAGTTCCCTGTCCTGCACTTTCTTTCAATAAATGACACACTCTCCATTAATCGGGTCTGAGGCCTAAATCTCTGCCTCACTGAGTCCTCCCCAATTCCTTATATCTAAACAATCAGCAGGCCTTTCCTGTGAATTCTGACTCTGCAACGTTTCTCACATCTATTCCTGTTTTTCATTTCCACACTTACTATTCAGATTCAGGTCGTTATTTGCCTTTTGTACTATAGCAACAATCTAGTTATTCTTGACTTCAACACTGTTGCCATATTAATGTTGCTGCAACACATTTTTTTCTTCCTTCTTTCCTTTCTTTCTTTTTTCATTTTTTTTCCTCAAAAATTAAGGCTTCCCACTGCCTTTAAAATAAAGCCGAATTTCTTGGCCTACCATTTAAAAAGATTCAGTAACTGGCACAAAAACTTTAATTCTTCATCCCCAGACCTTCTGTAGTGCAGAGCCATTAGCTGGGCTTGCTAATTCTACTCATTTTTTTCTGACAAGCTTATAACCCATTTTTATATTTCCAAATGCTATCAAGTCCCAGTTCAAATACTCCTTCTCATGAGAACTTTACTCACAGCTACTGTGTTCCTCTCTACCCCCTATACAACTAATCTTGTCCTCCTAGAATATCTCAAAATGCATTCTCATGGTACTGGAACTTTCTACCTTGAACCACACTCTTTTTTTGTACATTTGTATATTCTCTATAACACTCTGAGTACTTTAAGGGGAGAGGCTCTCTTTTTTGCCTACCCCTTCGCTATTTTGCAAAGTACCACAAAATAATGGCTTTGGAATTAACAGAGATCAAAGTATAAAGGTCTTTCCTCTTCTTCTACACAATTCTAATCATGTCCAAAATCTCTTCACAAAAAGCAATAAAAAAGAAATTCTAAGCCATCCCCACCTAACTGCCCCGCCCCACAAACCCTCAAACATCAAAAAAAGAAAAGCAATACAAAACAAAAACACCTCTTTCATGACTGGGGACTTGTACAATGTCCCTATCTGCAATACTCTCTTCCCAATCCTTCATCCGATTTAGATTCATTAATCCCACTAGACTGTAAACTCCATGCAAGCAGGGACTTGTTTTATTCAGTTATATACCTAGTGCTTGGAACTTCACAGATTCTCAAAAGTATTTGTAGAGTGAATGAACTAGATTTCGTTTAAATGTCACTTTCTAGGGCTTCTGTGATTTCTCCAACCCAAATTGGGTACTCATATATAAATATATTCTTTCCTCTAGATCTCATTTCCCACCCTATATGCGAATCTTAAAAGAAGTCTAAAGTTGATCATCTGCATGTGAACGAGATGAAGGAAATCGACCCTTTTCACGCAGAGTGCAATATTAGGGTTGCCATCACATAACGGCTCTAGAAAGCTTTTCTCTTTATGTCTTTGCAAGCTCTTGCAACCCATTCTATAAACAACCTTTTAAAGATGCTGCCCTTTTCATTCCCTCACTGAGTTCTTGGCCCTGGATTACACTGAAACCTTAGGCATACGTCCGGAAAGATAAGGGAAGCGGAAAGACCCTGATTCCAAACCAACCAAGTGATAGTGAATCTGAAGAGCGACCAGAGACACGCAGACAAGGACTGCCAATCTTTTTTGATCAAAGTCATAACACACCCAAGGCCTAGCACAGGGGAAGGTCCTTGACAAGTGAGCTCGAGAGAAGGTGAGAGGCCGACAGAGGGAGCTGTCGAGAGAAGTCGCCAAAACCTTCCGAGGAAGGTCGGAGACAGGGTTCCAAGGACCTAGTCCCTGGGGCTGTGCCCTCGGTCCGCGTGCCCCCGGTCCGCGTGCCCCAGCCCGCCACAACCTCCGAGGAAGCACTACCCTCACTTAAGGGGTGAGCAGTCATCCTGGGCAATCGACCGCCTGCAAATTACGAGGTGTCCCCACAGGGAACGAGGAAACTAAGACCGCACGGAACTACTCTCCCACCTCGCCCCTCGCAAAAGTCTTGAGCCTCCCAGAGTCGACTGGGAGCCGGTGAGCTGGTAACAACTCACCGCTCCGCCCCGCTGCCCCGTCAGTTCCCGGTGGCCTCACGAACCGCTCCCGGCAGCAGCCGGCTCCGAGAGCGGAAAAACAAAGGTTCCCGCAGCAGGGTCGACCGGGGAACGTATTGGCTGTGCGACGGTAGGAAGTGACGTAACCCACTCCTTCCGGTCCGCCGGATTATGAATGATTGCGGGGGTCGCTGCTTCCCTGGCGCGATCTTCGTTGTTTCTTTCCCGGCTTCGTTGGCTGCGTGTGGCCCGCGGGCGAAAACTTTCTGAAACGGCCTCGGGAAACCCGGCTCGGGCGGGGCAGGAATGAGCTAGCGGTCCGTGTCACCCACACGCTCACGCACCCTCCCTGCCTGGCCGCGCCTCTGCGACCAGGTAAGGAGGGCGGGCGCTCGGGCCGCCGGCTCCGCAGTCCCTGAGACGCCGTAAAGCCGCCTCTTAGCATCTGGGGAAACAGAGTTGAGGATGTGGGGAATGGAGGGAAGGGTGGAGGGGTCCGGGCCCCTTCTCAGTTTTTCCAGGACCAGTCCCCGTGGCTTCCTCTATTGATGGGGGCATGGAGCAGCTTCCAGTTGCAGCAGTCTGTGGGGTCGTTTGCCATTTGCTGCTAGGTGTGGTTTTAAGGCCTCTTGGACCGCGCTTTAACTTTTTTTTTTTCCACTTAGTTTTTTATTCCAGCCCTTCCTCACTGGAGAAAGCAGTTGTATGTGAATACTACCTAACAGTTACTCTAATGAACTTGCTTCATTTGGGGCCATTTGCTTCTGTTACACCATCAAAGCAGTGTTTCACTTTGGTTTTAAACTTCTATAGAAAGTTAGAGTTTAACTTACATGAAAATTGCTTTGACTTCCAAAACGTTTACTGATACGAGTACTTTCTCTACCTGGTTTGGGATTAGGTGACTTGTTCCCCTACTCCCCCTCTTTATTCTTAACGTCATGATCCCCTAATGCCGTGATCCCATTCCTTGTCATAAGTTCTTGAATATCAAGAAAATGCCAGCATTTAATAATATGTCTTCTGTTAAATTATTGATAAGAGAAGATAGAGTACTACTTTTTTCTAAGCTTATCTAGAAACTGTTTAAAGGAGAAAGTGCAAAAGCTGGCAAAAACTAGTGGTGACAATTTAAATTTTAACCATGGTCACTTAAATATTGTGAAAATAAATTCTTTGTTATAAATACAACTGAGTGATTTGCTATCATATTTAATAAATCAAACGTTAAGCTATGTGACTTTTCAGCTGCCTGGTGGGGAATATACACTACTGAAAGGATTGCCTTAAGCATACTTATTATTTGAAATTATGTTTGAGTTATACCTGAAGGCATTGTTTTAAGAGTCCTAACTTCAAAAATAAATCTGAAAAACTCAGTGAGATTTGACATTTATTTTATCAATTCTTTTATTTTTTTACACTTCTGTTACATGTTTGCCTGCTTTAAACAAAGCTCAAACTTTAACTTCTGTAGTAGAAGGCCCATAAGCGTCTTGGGGGGTTTGTTTTTAGTTTTGTTTTAACCTGTGTTTACTTTGTAGCTTTTATATCACCCGTGATTTGAAATAAGAATAAAGACTGAGTATGCAAGTGGGTAACAGCAGCAATTTAACAGACCTTGAAACTTAACAAATTTTTTTTTGAAACTTAACAAATTTTGAGGCCAGTCAACTAAAATATCTGTAGTATACACAGTTCCTTAGCATATGTTGTTTTTATCTTCAAGTTTTTAAAGTAGCCTACTGAATTCTGTTATGATTAGTACTTGGAAAGCAAGGATTTAAACCATTTAGTTCATAATAAGCACGGGTATTGGTAGCTGTGGGTATTCAGTAATTTTATTTCAGGCTTGCCGATGTTTCTAACATGTTAGCATTTCATGCTGTGGATCCCTATTAATTTTGAGGTCAGGCTTAGCTGCAAGCATTATGATTCTATGGCAACAGATAATTCCCTGATTCTCCAGAGAGGACACACTTCCCTTATGGCTAAGGTTACAGTACGCTTTTTTAAACTGTTTTTTTTTTTTTTTTTCACTTCTTGCCCAGATAAGCAGCTAATTTTAATCATAGGATTTTGTCCTCTAGGACTTAACGATATGTGTCCTCACATTACATAATGTAGTGAGCACTGAAATGGCTCAGTTTTTTCTTTCCTTTTTTAAACTTTACTATCTAAGGTAATAGCTGCTATCTAACTCTGTAGAGGCAGGCTTTTCTTTGTTTATCTATATTATTGAAAGAAAGTAGTGAGATTTGCAACCAAATACTGTTATTGTTATGTATAAAACACAAGCTAAGTTCTAATATTCATAATGTTGAACATTTGATTGTAGTGGGAATTTTAATGGGTTCAAATTTAAATTTGAATCTTTAAGAAAAATAGGAGTTTGTGATTTTTTCGTATTTGTAAACTGCTTTGAACTATTTATTCTGTACAATATAAGCAGTTAATATTCAAGTGGACTTAGGGTGTCACATTTATATTCCAACATTTTGTGACTCCCCAGCTTTCAGCCTCAGTAACAAACAGATTTTTTGAATATTTGGTTGGAGAAAATCTTTTCAATTCAACACAGATCCCTTATTTTCCCTGAGAAGTTTGGAAGTATAAAGCATAATTTAAGGCTTGAACTAAACATTCCTTGAACTAAAATTTGAGTACTCTTCAGCACTGGAGATATGTGAGGTAATAAGTGCTGTATTCCTCGCACATAGTAGCAAACTCAGTAAATATTTGTTGAATGAGTGTATGGGTTTCTCAAATAATTGACCTAATAATTCCAATAAACGTCTAGAATAACAGCTGAAAAAAAAAACTGATGTAAAGAAAAAGAAAGCAGAATAAGGGGCTAGGAAGTGATGGGAGTCCTTTTTCTCAGGATAGACTGCTCTGAGTTAATATTCAGAGACCTCAGTGAAATGAAGGAGCAAGCCATGTGAATATCTTGGAGAAGAACATTCTAGGCAGAGGGAATAGCAAGTACCAAAATTCTCAAGCGTGGGGACATTGCTGGCGTCTTCCCAGAACAGCAAGGAGAACTGGCTGGAGGGAAGTGAACAAGAGGGAAGATGGGTAGAAGATCAGGTCAAAAAAGAAACACAGCTAGGGTCACATCAGGCCCTAGAGACCATGATAGGAAATTTGGATTTTATTTTAAATGTTCTGGGGAGCCATTGGATGGTTGTGAAGAGAGGACATGGACTGATTTATGTTTTTAAAGGATCACCCTGACTATAGTTGCAGAATGGACAGTTGTATTGAGTGGAGGAAAATAGTTAATGAGCTTTTGCAGTAGTCTTTGTAAGAGCTAGTGATGACTTAGATTAAAGTTATTGGTAGGGGTGCTAAGAAGTTAGATTTAGCATGTATTTCAAAGGTAGAAATAGGGTAAGAGAGAGAAAAAAAGAAGTTGAGTGAGACTGCAGAATTATGGGCCCAAGCATCTAAGTAAATGGTATTGCTGTTTTATCAAGAATGGGGACTACTTGAGGAAAGAGGAACAGGTTTAGAAAAATGTCCAAGTGAAGATGTCAAGTAGGATACATGTATAGGAGTCTTAGATGATATTTAACCCTATGACACGGTAAATCACCTCGAGTAGTGCCGTTGTAAGTTGTGGCCCATAGGTCATGGAATCACTTTAGTGAGTACTAACCAACATTAAAACAATGACACAACCCTGGAGGAGAAGAAGAAGAAAGAAAAAGCAGGGTGAACTGTCAGTTATATCTCATGTGGTAGGATATTTCCTGGTGATTCTTTTGTTTCAGTATTATTCAGTGTATAATGACTTTCATTATAAGGTTTATTTCTTATTGAGTGGCATGATCAAATTTTGAAAGCCAGTAATCAAAGGGGTGAGTGTAAGTTGAGAATAGGGTAAAGTACTGAGCTACACGTCACTAAGAGGTCTGAGGAAGATCCAATAAAGGGAATTAGGAAGGAACTATCAAAAAACTTAATCCAGTGCTGAGAATTGTCAAATAACTGCCTTTAGCATGGAGGTTTTTATCAAGGACAGTTGCTTAGAATAACATAATTTCTGATGGTTTTCACTCTGGTGAAATTGTTGCTGTAATAAAATTGCAATATGCTTCAATTTATGAAGTTTATAAAGTAATGCTATTTATGTTAGAAAAATACCTATTCCTTAATGTTTTCCAATAAGATCCTTTTATAGATTCAAATAATGCTTTTGGATTGAAGTACAGTTCTTATCTATGTAGTGGGAGTAAAATGTACTTTTAAAGATTATTAGGATTGAAGTAGTGCACAAAAGTTCTGTGTGCTAGCACATAGCTGGTGGACAATAAAATGTACATAATATTATTTAGAGTTGTATTCTTTGTTCATTTAACATTTATTAAGCTCCTATCAAATCCCAGGCCCAGTGATAATTTCTTATTTTAAAAAAATCAACTGGTTAATATTTAGTTGCAGTTGTACACTTTTTGGTCTTTATATATAATATACAACTTATTTATCTATTATGTAATATTTAGTTGCCATAGATCCAGACTTGAATTTTGAGCACAAAAGTTTTAAACTATTTTTCCAGTTTCCAGAGAAGTATGCTTATTTTCATACTTATTTATGGTATTTTTTTCTTTCTATGTATACATATGCAAGGAGTAAAGTAGTAAAATGGTTTTAGATAAGAAAACACCTATTAAACTCATTTCCCCTTTCATGTGTGAAATGTTTCATTTTATCAACACCAAGATATATTAATTGGAATGAGAATGAAAAAAAAAATTAAATTCCTAATTAAACCTGTGACTACTTCGTTTGTTTAAAAATATCTTTAAAGATTCCCAAATAATGAAACCAAGGCTTAAGTATTTTCTTTTTACCTGTTTTTATTCCCTCTGCAACATTCCCAAGCAGGCTGGCCTTTCCAGGGAGGAGATGCACACTCCATCAGCTCTGTTCAGTATCTGACATTTGTGGTGTTGTCTGCTGCTTTCTCAGTCCATCACAGGAACAGTTGCAGTGTGGCACCTGTCAAAGCTGAGAAAGCAAATGACATACAGCACTTCTGTGCTTGGCAGGAATGTAGTCTGGACTAACAAGAGCTATGCCCCCAGCTCTGTGTGTTGGAGACCCAGGGGATGATTCTACAGCACCTACCTTTTTTAAAGCTCATGACATAAAAGTAATAAAATAAGGAATTCTCTAGGTAGAAATGGAGAAGAAGAAGAAAAAAAAAGGTTTCTTTTGAGGGTATTTGCAGACTTTAAGCAAAAACTGTGTTCTACTTTCTTGAAAAATTAAAGACATAGTACAAGCCAAAACGAGATATCAAATTTGTACAGGTTTGCTAATACTTAATATTTATTTTTGAAATTACAGTAGTATTTAATGTGGAGAAATTGCCCAGGGAGAGTAATTTTTTTTTTAACTCTAAGATCATTAAGTAACATTTTTAATCTTCAAGGGGAGGAAAAAAAAAAACATCTATATTTAAAGAAATAAATTATGTTAAGAATCAACAGTACTGGAACTTCCCTGTCGGGCCAGTGGTTAAGACTTCACCTTCCAATGCAGGGAGTGCCGGTTCGATCCCTGGTCGGGGAGCTAAGATTCCACGTGCCTTGCGGCCAAAAAACCAAAACTTAAAACAGAAGCAATATTGTAACAAATCCAATAAAGACTTTAAAAATGGTCCACATCAAAAAAAAAAAAATCTTTAAAAAGAATCAGCAGTACGTTGCATTTTCTCTTAGGCATCTCATTAATTTTTAGATATCTCCAAGGGCAGATTATTGCTATTCTATTTTGTTGACATTTAGCATTTATTAAGTGCTCACAGCAAAAAAAGTTTCTAGAATGTGTAAAAGTTAATTCTCAAGGTTCTTATGTGCCTTGGGAAGTGGCAAATATACATGTACTCTAATTTTTAAAAAAATGTTTCTGCATATCCTAAATCAAAAGCTGTAAAATAGTATGATGTTGTTTTTAGTTTTGTGTGTGTGTGTGTGTTTTTTAAGTGTTAGCAGGACTAGTCTCTAATTACTATTTCCTAGACTGCTGGGCAAATGAGGAAATCGATTATGTTTTCTGTCAAATCTGCTTATTGGGGAAACATTTAGGGATCTTTATAGCATCTCACTGTCAACAAAGGGAGTTAAGAGGATTGGTAAATTAATCAGCAATAGATATATAGGGATAAACTCTCCAAAGAGACTATCGATTTTCTACAAAATGTTGGTTTCTTTTGCCTGTGAGCTTTAACAAATGCCCTTTAATATTTTGTTTTAAAATCAGCTCTAGGTGGAGGAAAAAATAATCCAAAAGGTAATTAAGTTAGCTCAGGGAGAAAATGGTTTCCATGGGTTAAAGTGTTGTTGCTTTTAAATTACATGAAATAAGTTACCCTTAGATAATCTTTTAAATAAGTAACAAACCATGGTGCAGATCTGTTATGTTTTAACAAAAGAAGTATAAAACACTGGTGATCACTTGCATCATCAAGAAGTTTTCCACGACAGTACTTTACTAACAATATCCCTTTGTTATAATGGATTATTAGCCCTTTAATAAAAAAGTTGAGGACCAAGATGATTAAAGAGTACTTAACTATTTTGCTTTTGAATAAAAAAAAAAAATCTAAGGAATTTAGAATATAAAGGAAATTTAGTAAATTTTAGCACCCTAAAATTCAGGTGCACTAATATTTCAAATACACTTAAAAGAAAGAGTTGCATGTGTACTTTTTAAAGGCTTTTAATATAATTTTTAAATAATTTAAAATAATTTTTTCTCCAATATACCATTTTCCTGTTACATGGTGAATGCTTTTAAAGAGTGCCATCTAGTGTCAGTTTTGGAATTTTGATTTATGTATTAGAACATGGGGAATTTTAGACCCAGGAAATGTAGAAATCAAACAAAAAGTCATAATTGACAAAAGTCTTAAGGATTGTGACTTGAAAACACCCATCAATAATTTGACCACAAGATTGTGTACGTTTGCATCTTTAAAATAACCAACATGTCTATTCGTCCATGCATTCACTCAATATTTCTTGACTATATATATATATATATACACACACACACACATATATATATACATATACACGTATATACATATATGTGTGTGTGTGTGTGTGTATATACACACACACACACACACACACACATATACATATAGCAGGTCCTGTTTTAGCATAGCAGTGAATAAAATAAAATTTGTACTCTCATGGAACATTCTATTGGGCTAAGACCAAAATAGATAGCGTAGTATGTTACAGTAGTAATAAATGCTGTGAAGAAAAGCATAGAAGGGGATGGAAATGTTTTTTCAGGAAAAGTGGGAGTTGGGGTTTGCAAGTTAAATACAGTAGCCAGGGAACATCTCAAAAAGTTGATATTTGAGTAGGTACTTAAAGGAGGTATGGATGTGTTCTAGGCACTAGAAATATCAAGTGCCAAGGCACTGGGGTGGGAATGTACCTAGTGATTTAGAGGAACAGCAAGCCACTTTTGCTGAAGCAGTGAGCGAAGATGAGAGCTGATGAGATGGACAAAGAGACAAAGAGAATTAGATCAAGGAGATCTTTGTAGACCATTGCAGGAGCTTTGCCTTTTCTCTGAGTAGGATGGGAAGACATTAGAGCGCTTGAGCAGAGAAGTGACGTGATTTTATTTCATTTTTAACAGTATCATTTTTGCTAGTATGTTGAGAATAGACTAGAGGATGGAAAGCAGGGTTAGGAAGCAATTGCTATAATTAAGAAGAAAGGTGATGGTGGCTTGGATCACAGTGGAAGCAATGAAGATGGAATGAAATAATCAGATTCTAGGTATATATTGAATGTAGTGCCAAAATAAATTTTTAATGGATTAGTTATGGGGGTGTGAAAGAAAAGAGTAATTTAAAATGATTGTCCAGGTTTTTGGCCTGAAGAGCTGAAGGATGGTGTTCCATTAACTGAAATGGGGAAGATTCATGAGGAACAGGTTTTGGGCGTAGGGAGAGAATAAGAAACTTGATTTTGGACACGTTAACTTTGAGATATCTCAGTTATCAACATCTAAGTTATGGAGAATTTCAAATATTTTTTTCTATTGTGATTCAGCGTACAATAGCTCATCACATATCAAAATCCACCTTGGGAGAATCCATTTCTTGTGAGAGAATGAATATTTCCCCCCCGCAATTATTATATTTTAGGAGCATAAAACAAGCAGTATTCATCAAGCTTCTCAGAGCTATTATCCCCAGACAACTCTAGGTATTCTTGGTTATTTCTTATGTCCCATTCTATTCATCTTTTGTTCTCACCTGTGGTGAGACCCCGAAGTATCAATACTTGACTGGGAGAGTTCTATTGCCAAGCACCTGAGGTATGCTCTTTTTAAAGGAGCTGGATATAAAATCACCCTTAAGACTAGTTAATTGGGCAGGGTAGGAATCTTTCTTTTGGAAGCCATTTATTCATTCCAAGAACCAATTCTTGTAGAATCATATCTATCACAAATCCCTGCTGATTTCTAGAAAATGTTTTTAAAATGTTCATCTTTTATTTTAGCTTTGCAATTCCTATATTCTAAGACCTATAACCACTTCAATTTATGCTTCAGGTAACCCAATGAAAGAAGAAAATGAAAGGCATTAAGAAAAGTCTTACAGAAGAATATCTATACTTGGACTTTTCTCACCAAAAAGAAGGGTGCATCTTTCCTCTTCATACATCTATAACTTTATTTTTGTTATCATACTGTGACTGCAAAATCTTTAAAGTTTGCTTAGTCCTCACTGGAGAAAGCACAGGCATTTCACTACTTAAAAGTGTACTGTCTGAGGATGTTGAAATACAGATTATTTCAAGGCAAGAGCTTCCACCAATAGTCCAGAGTTGCTGTTTACCTGCAGTAGTAGAAAGACCAGACGATTTCTGTAGAGCAGGACTTGCTGTTGTTCTGAGACACATAATCCAGAAATCATATGAAGCAGACCCCTCAAAGAAGGAAATTTTGGAACTTCTGGGTTTTAAGAAGACTTGCTTGAAAGCCTGTGCTGAAGTAAGTATAATGTCTCTTTTCTGTTATTTAAAGCCATAAGTGACAACACATTCACTTGAATATTTATTTGAACTTTCTGTTGGAAAATAAAATTTAATTTATTTAAAAGAAACTACAGTAACCAATGAAAGAGTTAAAATAGCCCTTCACATATACCGATATTTCAGCACAGTATTGGAAGATAAGAATTTCAAATTTAATTTATGAGGTTTAGAGACATTATTTTTAGGGAAAGATTTCTCTTTTTTTTTTTTTCTTTACCTTTTAATTACGTTGAGGATTTTTAAAGGGGATTTTACATATGAACAGGAGCTCAAAGTAGCAGTGTTTCGGAAACCTAGCTTTTTTAGGGGGAGTGTACTTTAAAGGCTTTGGGAAGTGAGGATTTATTCGGTAAGTGGACACAGGAGAATAGCAATATTCCAGATACAGGAATGCTGAACCTCCATTGTTTAATGTTATCACTTCTGAAGCACTGTAATGTCTCTTGATAGAGCGTAAAAGCCTAGCCCAGAGATGGTTTAGCTCAAGACTTAAATTCTCTAAACCAGTCTTATTTCCCAATAGAAAGTTATTTTTCTTCAAGCTATGTTGAAAGTAAAGAATCCTTTCATTTCTTGTTTTGTTTTGCAGGTTAGTCAGTGGACCAGGCTATGCGAACTTACCATCCCTTTAGCTATTGAGAATTTTCTCAAAGAATCTTCTGACCAGCCCCCAGCTATCCCTGCTGAAATACTAGAGCTTGAGAAGAAGCTTAGTGAGCCCGTTAGGGTACATAATGATGACAAACTCCGGCGGCAGAAGCTGAAGCAGCAGAAGGCTGCTGGGGTTAGGCCTTCCCTTTCTAAGGAAGAAACGAAGAGCAAGGTCCATAGACAGGAAACATCTGAAGAGGTGGACTCTTCATCAGCGAGCCTGGAACTGAGAGTGGCATTTTCAAAGCTCACAGTACATGAGGAACCAGCTCCTGCCAACAGGGAGCCTGCTCACGTCAGAAAAGCGAAAGCTTCTGACCTTCCACCTCTGGACCATGTGTTTGTAGAAGGCCTGTACTTCACTTTGGCAGATATTGTGCTCTTGCCCTGTATCCATCATTTTTTGGTAAGGTTTATCAGGAGTGGATACATTGCTGTATGTTTCAGTCTATAAACTGCCCAGGTTTGAGTCCCTATTTCATTTCTTAATACCATTATGCTTCTGGGCAAGTTATTAATATCTGTCTCCGTTTTCTTATATGTAAAATAGAGATGATAATAGTGCCTTCAATACATGTTAGTAATTATTATGACTTTTAGTTTTGAGTTGCTAAAAACATTAGCATTCTTTATGATTATTAATTTTAAAATGCTGTGGTGATCACCTTCTAATACTAGAGGTTCCAGTATTAAAATACTAAAGACTCTTGTCAGCTATATTTTATAATTATGTAGTTTCTTCAAATGCTAATTTCATTATGTTAAATATTTTTAAATCAGAAATATTTTACCCTTGTCTCTGTTATGTTACATAGCTGGCAGTACTATTCAGTGCTGTGGGAGATTATATAAGGAAAGTTTCCTTTTTCAGGTACACATATATGTATATGTCTGTGTACATATATGTGTGTGTACATATATATACATATTTATATACATACATATATAAGTGTATGTATGTATGTATTTTTTTCTGTCTGGAGGGAAAAAGGACAAGGTAAAAGTAGTATCAGAGTGAACATGGGAAGCTAGAGCTCTCTGCAGCTTTCCAGTTGGTTTTCCAGAACTGCATTTTTCTCACTTTGAAGCATTTCACCGTTTCCCTTACTAAGGAATCAGATATTAGATTTCATTTTGATTATATATCACCAACACTTCAGGCATCTCTACTGACAGATGAGAAGAGATTTCTAATGAAAATCTATATATTTGGGGACCAGGCTTCACTAATAAGTTAGGTGGCATTAATCAATTGGCATTTTCTTAAAGAACATTTTTCTTTAAAATGTACATGAAACAAGATTAGAAATCAAAATAACTTCAGAATCAAAGGATGTGAGAACAAGAGAGCTAGGAATCGTTTAGATGTTGATTAGTATTGTAAACGTCATGTGTATTCATATTGTCCATGGTGCTGGGTGGGGAGAAAAACAGATTTTTTTCTTTTTCGTAGTCAAACGATTTCTAAATTCTCTTGTCCCTGACTCCCCCCAGTCCCCCACCTCTGCTGTTATTACCGACTTCAATCATTAGAGCAGTCATTTGGTGCATATTAGGAAATACTGTTGGTATTCATAGCTTCTTGGTCTCCTTGGATAACTATTTGTTCCTAATTTCATAAAAATCGAATCAAAGCGGCACTACCATTAGTTCATTCATTTGAGAAATTTATTGAAAGCCTACTGTATATGTCATGCCCTGTTGTATGCACTAGGAATACAGTGATGAACAAGACAGAAATGGTCCCAGCCCTTATGGAGTTAATATTCTAATAGAAATAGAAGAATAGGGAAGATAGAAATGAACACGTAGACAAATAAATAATACATATTTAAATAATGGTAAGTGCTACAAAGAAAATCAAACAAGGTGATAGAGAAGACTTGATTATTTGCTTTCAAAGGCAACAAAACATAAAAATTGGATTCACCTGCATAAAGGTTATTTTTAGATCATTATCCAGACATCTATCTTCAGCTAAATTGCATTTAATTTTAGCTTAATTTAAATACTGTTTACCTGATGAGGATCAATTGAGGTGGAGGTGTTCCTAATTGAGAGGATTTTTTTCCCCCTTTAATCAGGTGGGACATCAGCCTGACCACTGCTGAGTAAATCTACCTAATATTGATACAACTAAGGAACTCTGTTTTCATCTCAGTTTAAAATAGCGGAAAACTTTGTTATTACATTTATTCTATGATTAAATTCTTCTGTTTTGACATTATGTAAACGAATTCTCTAAATATTTTCCTTTGTTTGTTTGTATTTTTCCTAGATCATCACATTTTCTTTCAGGAGTTAATCTTTCTTTGCCAAAGCTTTGATGTTATTTCTGTTGTATTTATTTTCCTCCTGTAAGTCATCTTGGGTTATGAAGCAGCCATTTTAGTTCAGACGGTGGCTATGAAGCTGAGCCTTTACACTTGTATTAACACACATTGAGGTGATGGAGTAGTGGTCCAAATGATCAGCATTAAGATCAAGTTCATGATCAGGAATGAAGTTCAAGTTACTAGGTTTGGATCAGAAACATGGAGTTGAATCTAGGGCCAAAGTATTTAGCCACAGGAATAAGATCAAGAATATGAAAGAGCAGTCAATTTTGCTAATTCAAGGTTTGGTATACCAGAGGTCAAAATTAGAAGAGTTAGGGAAAATACCCAGTTTTGCTAAACAGAATAAAGCCAAATATGCAAAACAACAGCAGGGAGAGAGGCTGAGGTGTTACATCTAAACCTCTGCACCAAGCTTCTCTTCCTCTTCATAGGATGTTAGTGTGCAAAGTTAACCGCTGATAGCCCAACACTTCTTCCTGGAAGGTGCCTGATAAAATCCTCTCCTCTGGAAAGTTTCAGGAATGGATTAAAAAAGAATAAATTAAAATGCATCTTATGATTCCCCCCTCCCGTTATTTGTTAGAACCTTCTAGTACACAGAATAGGAAGCAGATGGGAGAAATAACAATGAATAACCATACTAAGGCAAAATCTTGCTTCTTTCTGATGCCAGAACATTTTATAGTTATTTTTAAGTTACTGCTACTAAACAGATACACTTTGATAGAACTATTTAAAAGATTATTCTACTCCTGGAAGACAGAGAAGTTGACATTTTATGAAATATTTTTGTAACTTGAACATTTATGATTTAACTTAATACATTTTAACTTCTAATGCTTTGAATTTAGTTTTTTAAAAGTATGACGCATTTATTACTAAAGTAAAATCATTGTAGAAATTGATTTTTGAGCAAAAATACCTATGTTAATTACCTCTTTCACTGTTCCCATTGGCATAAAATTGAGAATAAAATGGGAATCTCACTACTGGCTGGCATATAAAAATTATGGATTCCGTAGTTAATTTATATTTTCCATCCCCTGTCCTATTCCTTAGGTCCTTAAGAATTTTCAGTTTTAACTCACCAGTTCTAGACGATAAGAAAAGACCCTGAACTAGGATTATATTTCCATTTAGACAGGTTGTTTACTATTTTTTATACTGCTTACACTGCTCACCTAAACATTTGTTGATTATGATGTGTTTTTGAAAGGGTAGACATGACTGAGGAAATGACATAAAAGAATTACAAAATATTTTATATAATAAGTGACTGGAAAGTAATGCAGAGGAGGAGATCTTTTGGATAGGTGTAATATCTTGTTTCTCTTTTTATTCATACAAGTTTTTCTGCCTCTTGCTATAATTAAATACAAAGCCACTAGGATTTCAGTTTGTGGTCTTGATAGCAATTTTTTACCAATATTTTGAGAATAAATTATTTTCTTGTCCTTAAGTAACTCTGGTATTTATAATGTTTTGATCTTATCAGCCAGGTAACATCTTTTAAAAATCGTTTCTTAGGAACAAATTTAATTTTCATTTCACACATTTAACATTAGCCTCATCGTTAAATATGTCTTCTCAGGTGTAATTAATGAATGTGGTGCCGTACCTCCTGAGCTGTCTGGGTATTAGCAGAGCAGCCTGGCATATTGATTAAATGGGATGACCTGTCATGCAGAGTAAAACTCCTCAAATTTTTTAAACATGAATTATTGTTTAATCACAACTTATTTTCAAAAGGAGGGCAAGATGTCATATGCGTCTAACAAGTAAGAATAAATCACTACCAAGGGGAGTAAAGGAAAGGTGAGGAAATGAGAAATTTCTTATTTGATTAATTTATCATGGCTTAAAGTTCAATTCCCATAGCACATAATCTGTTTCCAGGCAATTAAGTATTTTGTTGAGAATTAGAAACTTTTTGGCTCCCAGAGTACCATTTAGACAGTATTTTTCAAACTTTTTTACTTTTCACAGTAAATAATGCATTTTACAAGGTGACTGAGCATACAAATACAAATATACATCTTTATATTATATATATGAATATAGATATATAAACAGAAGATAACCCACCTTACTACATGCTATGTACTCTGATATTTTCTACTTAATTTCATTTAAAACAAAAAAAAATTTAATTTCATTTAAAACAAAAAAATTTTTTTTAAATTGATTTTTAAATCTCCTAATGGGTTGTAAGCAGCAGTTTGAAAAACACTAGGGGATTATTCTTTGAGGTCAATAAATGGTTTCTTGATCATTTGTTCATTCACTCAGTATTTTTTGCAAGGCAGTGTTTTAAGCGTAGTATACAAAGAGAATTACACATAAACCCTATTCTTATAATCAATTCTTATTTAACCTTAAAGTCCAGTTAAAATAGACTATATATATGTGTGAAATTTTTCATTAATTTTTGTCCTTTCTGGCTCCTGTTTTGGCACTGATTATTGCTAGATACATTTGTCGAGATTTTCTGTGACTTGACCTTTTCATTTTATCTGTTCATAAGTCATAATCTGTTTGTAACATTATAACTGTTTCTATGGAAACAACATTCAGTGTCTCACAAAGAAGCAAGAACATTCTAATTTTTAAAGAAATTGAAGTTTGGTGGTGGTGCTGGAGAGAAAGCATCTGACCAAGAGAAAATAAACATACTAATTTACATCGGGGTAATGGTTTCAAATGCTTCTAATTTGAATAAATAAAAGGCTTACTTTAAATGCTGCATCATAATAAACAGAAACAAACTACTGATAAATGCAACTACATGGATGAATCTCAAAATCATATTGCTAAGTGAAAAAAGACACATTTTGTGATTCCATTTAAATATATGAAATTTTAGAAAAGGCAGAGTTATACACATGAAAAGCAGATCATTGATTGCCTACAACTGACTGTGGAGCAGAGACTGATTGCAAATGGTCACAAGGGAATTTTTGGTGTGACGTTGAGCGTAACGGTACTGGATTATGGTTGTGCAACTATAAATTTACTAAAACTCATTCTTTAAATGTGTGAGTTTTATGGTATGTAAAGTTACCTCAATCAGCTCTTATAACAAACAAAAATTATATAATAATGTGTTTTGTTCTTTGTAATTGCCTAGGTAATTATCTGCAAGAAACTTTCTGAAAAGCTGGTAGAATTTCCACTGCTGGCTGCCTGGTACCAGAGAATTCAGGAAGTGCCAAGAGTAAAAACAACAGCTTCTCAGTGTGGGATCCAATTTCTCAATTTACCAGAATTACAGACCACCTCGAATGAACAGCAACCAAGCTTAGATGAGGTCCCATGTGTAGAGGAGCAAAATGATCCTTCATTTATAGGAGGACCAAGACCCACCATGACTAAGTTAATGGTAATTAAATTGTTTTTATTAAAAGTTTGTTTGAAAGATTCCATGTAATAAAGTTGCTGAGCATTTTACCCCAACTTGTATAACATTTTTGTTTTAACATTTTATAAATTTTATTTATATCTCTCTTGACCAATTAATATTTGTGCTAGTCTTTGGATTTAAGTGAAATATAGTAAATTGAAGATTTTTAATATTATGTGTCTTTGGAGCCAAACAAGTCAGAATATATATTTTTAAGAGTATTTTTCTCAGAATTTTTTGTTTTTATATTCGAGACACCAAAGTCATATCACACCTGGTCAAGTTTATTGTTTTAACCTGACGTTTTTCTGTTGCAAGGAACTGGTTTCTCAGTTTCTTAATTTTGAGGTGATGATTTGAATTAAAGAAATATGAAGATGATTATCTCAATATATTTTCCAAGGTTTTGTCTAAATTTAAGATTTTTGAATTCTTTGAATTCTGTTTTTACTTTATTCTTTGATTTTATGACTTTTTATGTAATAAGAGCACATGATTTCTTTTTCTCTCTGCAGCATAATTTGTTTCTAATAGTACTAAGTGTAAAAGTTTTCACCAATAGGCTTTCTTTTCTCTATCATTCAAAACAATCTGCGAAAATGTTTTGCTTTTAACTTAGACTGTTTGAAGATTTGTTCGAATAGAAAATTCATGAAGTAATTTAGCTAGTCATCTGAGTTGTATTGGAAAGAAAATCATTATATTTTTTAACTTGGGTTAGGAAGTATTTGAGTTCTATAGTTAACAGAAAGTTTGCTGATTTAGAAAAGCAGATTTTAGTAGTGACACCAACCCCTTATCTCTTCAGCTAAGCTTTGTTAGCCTAGTGGTGAAACAATGAAACAGATGGTACAGTTGATTATAGAAGATATCAAAGCAGGTCCAAAGTTTGATGTGTCTTGATCAGATGGTTATATTGCTCAGTGATCTCTCGTTTACCTCCTGAGTGTTTTAAAAAAAATAATTGTCAGGAGAGTACTCTTGTATTAAAATACTAATTTTAAAAATTTCAACAAACCAAAAATCTGTACTTTTATTTTAATTCATACGTATGCAGTCTTGAAAAAGAGATTGGTAATTCAAACTTTTGTACCTGTGCTTTTCCAGCAATAAAATGACATCAGGAAAGATATTTGCATTTGATACATTTTAAAATATTTATAAAAAAGAGACAGGTGACTAGAATTTAAATTCAGAAAAAAGTTAATAAACAATTGTACCGTAGAAACTAACACAACATTGTAAAACAACTATACCCCAATTTAAAAAATAAATAAAATACATATGGACAATAAAAAAATTATAAAAATAAGCGCTTTTGTAATAATATAAAAAATATAAAGGAATCCTGAATTTTTAATTTACAGGGGATGTGTTAGTTCAGGTCCTCCAGAAACAAATTCCAAGATGGGGTTAGATGGGCAAGAGGTATACTGAGGGAAACATCTGTGAGGGAAAGTGGGGAGGGAGCCAGAGGAAGCTGCGGAAGCCTTCAGAACGTGGTGCAGTTTTGATCCCTGTGCTTGAAAATGGGAAAGGAAGGAAGGTTGGGTCAGAAGAGTCAGACTTCAGTGCAGTTCTAAGAAAGTTTTGTTAAGCTAGTGGGGAATCCTTGAGCCTGAGTCATCTGTCAGAGAGTTCCATATTTCTCAAAAATGGTCTGCCACTCAGTCTCTGAGCCCGAGACTCTCAGTCATTGGCTTGGGAACAGTCCATGGGAAGGCTATACTAGAGACCAGGTGACTTGGGTTCTAGTCCCAGCTTTGTAGTCAAGCTAACATTATTACCTTCAGTAAGTCACTTAACCATAGGGTCTCAATTTCTCCTTTTATAAATTAGGAGAGTGTACTCCTCTGTACTCGTACAGAGGAGACTCTGTACGAGTCATTTCTGATTTTAAATTTTATAATTATATAAAAGTTGACTAGGACATCACATCTGCAATTTTATAAGAACGGAATGTTCAAATCTAAAATGTTATCATTTCAATTTTCATGTAATTCTAACTTGATAGTGTATATTGGATACATTTTCTTTTTTTTTTCTTTTTCACTTTTCCAACCTTATTAAAGAAGTTCACCATAGTAACATTTTCCTTTTTAATAGGGCATTGTTTTTGCTACTTACGAGTTTCTCTATTGTCACATATTTGAAAGACAATATTATATCAAATTAACATATTCTATGAATGTATTAATTTTTCTTTATACTGTAACGTTTCATTTCTGTATAGTCAGGGTTTTTTTGTTGTTTTTTTGTGTTTTTGCTTTTTTTCTTTTTCTTTTTTGCCAATTGCAATGAGGACACATGAAATTGGCCCTAAGCAGATGTGTAAAGTAGGAAAGGTTTTCTTAGGAACACTCACATCTCGCCTTTTTTTCCTTCTGTTTTCTTACGCACAATCTTGCCTCCAAAATCTCCCTTATTCTATAGAGGTTTTAAATTTATTTATCCAGTCAAAAAATGTATATGTGTCTACTAAACACCAGACATTGTTCTGAATGTTGGATGTATGAAGAACAAATTGGACTGCCTTCATGGAGCTTACGTTCTGGTGGGGGAGGTAAATAAAGAAAAAACACAAATAAATGTATAGCACATTAGGTATTGATAAATGCTATAAAAAAATAATGTGGGATGAGGGGGGGTGCAGATGATTGAGATCAGGATCAATTTTTAGATAAGGTGGTCAGGAAGGCTTATCTGACTAGGTGAAGACATTGAGCAAATGACCTGAATGAACATTTGAAGATTTGGATGAAGTGTTCTAAGAGGATCCAGCTAGTAAGAAGACCCTGAGCAAATCTACAGAGACAGAAAGTGGATTAGTAGCTGCCTAGAGCAGGGAGCTTTGGGGAGAGAATGGAGAGTGTCTGCTAATGGGTATGGGACATCTTTTTTGAGGTGATGAAAATGTTCTCAAATTAGATAGATAGTGGTGATACACAACTGTGAATATTTTAAAAACCATTGTATTGTATGCTGTAAAGGGACAGATTTTTATGGCATAGAAATTATATCTCAATATAGTTGTATTTTATGGAAGACTCTAAGTTAGGAATAAGTGTGATGAAATGAGGAATAGCAGGAAGTTCAATATGGCTAGACTAAGGGAGATAGGAGAGAGGTAGATGATGTCAGAGAGATGTGTTTATCTTTCTGGGGGAGGTAAGTACTCTAGACCTCTATACTTGTAGCTATACCTCTACCCCAACAAAAGAACTTTGTACTATTTCCTTTGGCACTGAAATTCAGCTAGTTTTCATAATGGAAAGTAATCTCACGAACTAACCGATACAAAGGGGTTAATGATAGATTCTCAGGGATTTTTCTTTTGAATAGGATATTCCTGCAGATAAAAAAAAAATCTAGAACCATGGATATCTATCCTGTAGGCTGTGGACACGGAATGTGATTGAAAAGGTTCTGGGAATCCATGTGTATGCCATGCCACTGTCTGTAGATCAAATAAATAAATGTATAACTTTTAACATGAGGAAGGAACCTGAGAATTGTTTTATATATGGAAGAGGGATGATCATTTTTTAAAATGGTGGGGAAAAAAATGTTGGGAACCATTTGGTTAAAACAAAGGGATCCTTTTCTAGAGACTTTGTAGATACTTGTAAAAGACTAGTATGGATGATATTTTGGGATGAGTGTTAAAGTAGGGACTTTTTGATTCTGTGAATATAGCTCCTAGGCTGTGGCAATTTTTGTATAATCCAAGACAGAACTTGATGGACATATGCAGAGTCAGTTTTGATTTTGTGGATTGTTTTTGACAAAACTTTTATTCTCAGGTGACTTTTCTTTTCGACACGCAATATTTATAAGTAGCTTATTACTTCTGTGTCACTTCAGGTAATAATTTAAATAGGAAATTTAATAATAATTTAATAGGAAAGTAACCATGCTGTTAAGAAACTCAACATATGTTTCTTATGTAACTAAATATTTTGAGGAATACTTGATGATTATTAAAATCTGTGTCCCTCCTTGCCAGTATAGGAAATAGAAATTTGGTCTTCTAGAACATAACAGGATTTTATTAATTTATTAATTTGGAAAGGGCCTATCTCCTTTTCTAGGAAAAAGGCATTGAAGTGATGTTTTCTCCCCACCCTTGCCCTACTTGGACCCTTGACTGGGATGCTCTTCCTGCAGCAGTGAGCCCAAAGGAAGGTAAGGTTGTTTTTTTTTAATCTTTTTTTTTTAAATAAATTTATTTATTTTATTTTTGGCTGCATTGGGTCTTTGTTGCTGTGTGCGGGCTTTCTCTAGTTGCAGTGACCAGGGGCTCCTCTTCGTTGTGATGCACAGGCTTCTCATCGTAGTGGCTTCCCTTATTGTGGAGCACGGGCTCTAGGCGCACGGGCTTCAGTAGGTGTGACTCACAGGCTCTAGAGCGCAGGCTCAGTAATTGTGGTGCACGGGCTTAGTTGTTCCACCGCATGTGGGATCTTCCCGGACCAGGGCTCGAACCCGTGTCCCCTGCATTGGCAGGTGGATTCCTAACCACTGCGCCACCCGGGAAGCCCCTTTTTTTTAATCTTTAAATATTACTCATAATCTGGATACCCTCTTCAGATCCATCTTCTAGTTCTCTAGTTCTCTCTTTGTCTATATCTAATATTCTGATCATACTATCCACTGAGTTTTCATTTTATTTTTATTACAAAATTTTACAGATACACATTGCTCTGATTTAATATTTCTCATATTTTCCTACACTGCTTCATCTGTTCCTTTTTTTGTCTTTGCTGAAGTATTTTGAAGCCTATCCCAGATAACACATCATACTATAGTACACACATCTAAAAAATATTGACATCTTAAATAATCACGTCATTATCACGCTTTATAAGAATCAGCAAAAATTCCTTCATCATCTGATAACCAGTTCATAATCATTTCCAATTGTTTAAAATATTGTTTGAAAAAATATTTTGATAGTTAGATTTTTAGTTAAATAATATTTTTATTGCTAAAAACTATATTTGGTTTGTTTTGATAGTAAACTTTTCCTTGTTCATGTTTCAGTTTCCTCTTTTTATAATTGTTTAACCATAGTGATTTTATATTGTGTATTTTAACATAGTGATTTTATATTCTGTATTTATTATTTCTAATAGCTGATGTTCATAGAGGTCTAATTCTGCTGTTTGTTGTTTCTGTTGACTTCACTGCCAGTGTCTCATATCCCTATTAGTTCTGTAATTTTAGATTATAAATTGATTTTTTTGGTTATTTAAATCTTGGAATCTTGTGGGGCCTGGGATAGGAATGAATTCCCATGGAAAGGATTTATATTTGTTTATGCCAGACATCTTAAAGTATTTAACTTAAGGCACTAGATCTTAACATATTATTTTTTCACGTTGAGATTCCTTCAGCCTTTTCTGGCTGGGACTGAGGTTTAAACAGAAAAGTTAACTTTTTTCACCTTCCTTTGCTGTTGGGTAGAACTCTTTGTTTTTCAATGCATTTTTTCATAATGAATATAGCTTTTCAAGGTTTCTGCTTTCATGTAGTGATATTAGTTTCAACTCTCCATCATGCTAGGGATCAAGGACTAGCCTATCTTCTTTGTCTTGCTGTTAAAGCCTAGATCTCTGTTGTCAGCAAATACCCTCCAGGGAGCTATAGTGTCAGTTCAAGTTTATTACACTACTTTTTAGTTCCTATCCCCCTTTTTAAGGCCCTATGGATTTTCCTTACTCTCAGAAGTCCAGTTAGACATGTAAAGGATGATTGTTGAATTTTAAATGCCATTTTAGGTATTTTTAGGTGAAGAATTTTTTTTAGCTCAATGTTCTATTTCTTTAACTGTTCATGTATTCTTTAGTTTTATACTAATCCAAATATGTTTTGATTTTTCAAATGCTCTTTGAAATCATTTGTCTTCCTTTTTCATATTCTTCTCTTCTATGATGCTTCCTGATATTGCCTGTATCTTACTAATCAATTCTGTTCTGTCAATCGAGGAAATACTTTAGTATTGTTCCAAAATGGAAAAAGATTATGTTGGATAGTTAAGAACTCTGTTGCAAAGATATTTGTATAAAAATGAAATCTATTTTTTGTCTTTTATTAAATATATGAAAAATAGTCACTAATGAATTTGTTAATGTTTTACTTTAAAATATTTTGACATTTTACAAAGCTTAAATGTTTGTTTTTATGTGCAATTAAATTTTCTATACTCTTCAGTTATAGTATAGATTCCGAACGGGTTAAACCTATAATTTACTAAATAAAAGTCATATTTTTATTAATATTTATATTAAAAATTAAAACAGCTTTTAAGTGCCACATGCTTTGCTTTGTCTATAATGTCTGCTATGAAGGCAAAATAATATTTTCACTTATTAATATGAGGACTCAATTACATCTGCTAACAACTCAAAGTTGACATTAAGCATTCATGTCTAGTCATTTTACTGGTTAGAAGTGCATATCTAATGGAGCTCATGGAATATATTACTCATTATATCCCTTTAATTGGATCACCTTGTTTTCATAAATATTATGACAAAGATGGAGCTATAACAGCAAAGCTACATGGTGTACTCACATTTCATTTACTGTTTCCTAAACGTTTATAGTCTTGTTAAACTAAGGTAGAATTGTGGCATTTTAGATGTTCTGTTTTCAGTTCTGGCAGTTTCAGTATTGCATAGTCATAGGATCTTTGTGAAATGAAATTATTCACATAGAGGTGCAGAGGTCACTATGAATGTGTTCTCATGATTTGTGCTCTGGTACCGTCTTTTAGGAGAAATTGAATTGTAATAAGGTATTATTGGTACTTGGTTCATTTAGATGTTTCACAGACTGCGTATACTGACTGTATTGAGTTACATCAAGATTGTGGTGCATATTATAAGAATCAGCTTCTTTACCATCAAAGACTATATTATATTAATTCTCATGATGGAGTCTAATATATTTCATAAGCCTGTCTAGTCTCTTATCCTCTGCTCTCACCCATTTCTCTCCCTACATCTTACATAACATTCCCTGAACTTTTTGCTATTCCTTATACAATCTATATTTACTGTCTCCCTGCCTTCACCATTATTTTTCCTCCAGCCTTATATATTCTTCTTTCTTCTTCCCATTCCACTGAAATTATTATCATCTTTTAAGGATTAACTCAAATGCTGCTTCCTTCATTAAGCCTTCTTCATGGATTATGGAGTCAGCCTGCCTGAGTTTGAAACTTGGGCTACTAGCTAGCTAGGTAACCTATGGCCAGATTCTCTACTGAGAATGTCTGAATTCTCTGTTTTCTCAACTGACAATTCTCTGTACCTCAATGGCCTCATCTGTAGAATGGGGATAATAATACTACCTACCTCATGAGATTGTTAGTACATTCAATGAATTAATATATAAAACAGTACAGTGCCTAACTATAAATAGTAAATGTTAAATAATACTAATATAGTAGTCAGAGTAGTCAGTAGTAGTCAGTAGTCAATCATTTTCTCTCAACATTCCTTTAGTACTTTCTTATACTTCATTTTGATACTTATAGAATACTTCTGTTATACTAGTTTACATGCATGTTTTCCTTCTCCAATAAACTGTGAGCTCTTTAAATATAGGACTCCTGTGGATAGGTCCTCAATAATTTTTTATTAAATTGAATTGGATTGAGACTATAGATCCTTTTTTTAACTTCCCAAGTTTCTAATTAAACCATGCAACGTTTTTGTCTCATATAGATTTAAAAGGCTAAAATAATTGGGATTATTTAGTTTTAAGAAAACAGAACTGAATATTTAATTTACATTATCATTCTTATAGTTGTCATTGTTAATATTATTATTATTACATATCTTTAAATGGACTTTTTAGGAGTAAGTTGCAGACATCATGACTCTTCACTTCTAAATACTTAACTGTCTCCTTTAAGAACAAGAACATTTTCTTATATAGCCATAGTACAATGATCAAAATAGGATATTTAATTCAGTACATACTATTGTCTACTATTCAGTTCAGTAGATTGTAGTACATTTAGTTGTCATGTCTCTTTAATTTCCTTTAATGTGAAACAGTTTCTCAGCCTTTCTTTGTCTTTCATACCATGGACTTTTTTGAAGAGTTCAGGCCAGTTTTTTGTAGAATATTTCTCCATATGGATTTGTCTGATGTTTTCCTCATGATTAGATTAAAGTTACACATTTTGGGCAGGAACAACACAGAAATGATGTTGTGTCCTTCTCAGTGCCTCATTATCAGGAGGCATATTATGTCTGTTTGGGCCCAGTGATGTTAACTTTAATCATTTGTTTAAGGTGGGGTCTGCCAGGTGTCTCTACTCTAATGTTACTATTTTGCTCTACTGAATTAATAAGTAGTTCATGGGGAGATATTCCAGACTACATAATAACTTGTTTCTTTTCAAACTTTCACTCACCGATTTATATTCGTTTGATGCTTTCTTGCCTGTGATAGTTGCAAAATAGTGATTTTTCAACTCCACCATATTCTATATTTATTAGTTGCCACTCTACTGTAAGAAAGTCTTCTTTCTCTCTTTTTTGTCTTTCTTCCCTTTCTTTCTCTCTTTCTTTCTCTCTTTCTTTCTTTCTTTCTTTCTTTTCTTTCCTTCTTTTGACTCATGAATTTTTGCTTTTATTAAATAAGTTATAATATATCACTGTCATTATTAATTTCAGTGCTCAAGTTGTCCCAGGTTGTAGGTGCCTTCAAGCTGGCTCCTGATCCTTTGGAAATGCCCCAATCATTCTATGATCATGTCCTTAATTTCTGGCATAACAAAATAATTACAGGCTCATTTTGTCATTTCCCTGCCCCAGCCATAGAATCAACTGTTTCTCCAAGGAGCCCTTGTTTCTTTTAGTAGAGAATAGTATTTAGAAACTACGATTTGGGCACTAGGTATGCTCGTTGCCAACAGTATTGCTTCTAGGTTCTTTCGGTAGAGAGATGTATATATAGACAGATTCATTAGGAAATAGCTGTATGTATACATACATCTACATACACACACATACATAATCATACACATCAATACCTACTATATCTATATATCTATGTCTATTATCTACATATATTGAAAATCATGAGTTTATGCAGATACCTCTAATTCCAATCCGATACCACAAGATTCTTCCTAGTTTTTCTGAATTCAGTATCTGTATCTACAT